ATCGGGGCATGGTTTGTGGACAGTGGAGAACGCTTGGCAGCTGTCAAACAACCCAGGTGTGACCACTGCAGAATACTTCCGAGACATGGGCTACAACGTGCCTAGGCGGAGTTGTCAGCAGGTTACAGCATGTTGCATTCCATGCTTTCAGTTTTTGTCCATCGCTCCCACCTGAGACACTGACGCTTTGGCGAAGCATCACACTGACAATGTAGTTCTGTTGTGAAGATGCTACATGGCGCAGGATGTGTTTTTTGTTTGTGAGCAGATACTGGCAGTACAACAGCGTAACATGTGTAACAGTTCAACCCAAGCCTACTCAACACATGAGTTATACATGAATTATCGCCAATCCCTCTTAGGCCTCTCTCAATCGTCTCAATCGACCTGCTATGGTTCCGCAAGAGCTAAGGTGGCCATGATGGCAGACAGCACCTCTCGCTGGGCTGAGGCCTTGCGTGAGATCTCAGGTCGATTGGCCGAGATGCCTGCTGATGCTGGCTACCCCGCCTACCTCGGAGCGCCGATCTGTCGGTTTTACTATGTTTTTTCGCTTCGGTTTTGTGCAGGTTGAGACCTGGTGAAGGTATTTTACATGGTCCCCTGGATATTTACGGCACTTTGCTATTCAGTAAAGAACAAGTATAGCCTATAGCCTATAGCCTATAGCACTCAAAAGCAAACTTGAGGCAGGACTTTGTCCTCGCGTTTTTTCTTCCATGTCCTGGCAGCTCACGATTCATCATCCATCATTTGGCCTTTGAGAAACCAGGAAACCTCATCTGAAAACGGCAGGAGCACGACTGGCGTCCTTCTATGAGCGAAGTGGACGAGTGCAGTGCTTGGGCAATCCTCCTCGTGAGGGCTCCATCACGATTGTAGGAGCAGTGTCGCCACCAGGCACAATGAATCCGAGGGAATCCAAGGGAATCTGAAGAAATCTGGGAGAGTCAAGTCAGTTGTGTCAGAAAGGATCAGCAGGAACCTTCGGAAGGCCGCTGACATTTGATGACATTTGAGCTATTAGACCTTTGGCGCCTTGGGACATCTTTGGACAGTGATATCATGTGATATCCAAGTATTTCATGTCAGTTTAAGGCGTCATCAGGGCTTCCGACGCGACAATGTTTTGATTGCAATTTAGTTTTTTATAGTTTTTTGCCAAAGCAGGACCTGCTACCTATCCGATACCTATCCCCTTCAAGCAGAAAGCACCGCCTTCAAGAGACTCATCCTTGGCTCAGGCGGTGACTTCACCGATCCCGTGACTTCTGCAACATTGAGCATTGTGCAGGTCTTCTGGGGTTTGGACAAGCTTCTTGGCTGAAATCGCCGAGGGAAAGAGATGGAATCGAAACAAAGCAAGTCTTGGAAGACTCATTTGTGGACAATGGGTGAAATTGACAATCGTTCGCATGGGTTGCGCGTCATGGCAGCTCCTGCAGTGCATCGCATTTGGAGATCTCCATCCATCCGTGCAAGTTGCTTCAGTTCAGTTTCAGTTCACTTGAAGACAGGCTTTCAACAGACTGGCGAAAGCTCAGTCAATACGACTTAGGAAGTTGGCACAGCGCAAGCACTTCCCTGCGATCAATTGGAACATCTCTTTCTCCAAGTACATCCGTACCTGGGCTTTGAAACTTTCTGAAGCGATCCCGGTTACTTTCTATTTCAAGATCCACATCCAACTTGATCGTCCTGGCTGCCCTGACTTAGATGATGGTTGGGACATGTTGGGACCTTGATGGGTTGATCAGGCTGCATGTTGAAAGGCTGACAGTACGACTTAGAGTGACTTACCATTCAATCGTCGACTGAAAGGTGTCTTGGAACCGTACTTCGAGAAGTACGACACCGAATACAGCAACTTGACTCACAATGGTTCAAGCTAAGAACATCACCATGATGCTGTCACCTCTCCAAATTGTGACAAGCTGTATCAAACTGTTAGGATGTAGCCGTAATTGTTGTCCCTCGCTGCTACTATCAGATAAATGACCATACACATTCACATGCGAACCGTCCGAACAAGGCTTCGTCTTCACGATATCAAGCATGATAGTGGCACTTCGATTTCTTAAAAACTTGAAACATGTCAGTGGATTGTTCAGCCAGCACCCTAAAGCGGTTTGCGAGTCTGGAATGAACCTGTGAAGATTGACCTTAAAAAGGCATGCTCCAGCAAAAGATGAAAGAGATCTTGCAAAAGGAGGATGACTTGCAAGAGATTGTCCAGTCCCTCGGCAACCGTCAGAGTTCAAAGCGCGACGCTTTTATCCTGGCAATGGTGGAAATGATAATGGTGGCAGGTCCCAATTTGCTCACAGACTCTGGGGGCTAAGCTGAGGTTGGTTGGCAAGGACTCCTTGTCAGAAGATCAGAAATGCACTTTGGAAGTTGCCAAGATCATCAGAGAAGTGCCTTGGCCCACAGATGAACTGGTCTCCTGGTCACGTGGGTCATGTGCCCTCAAATTCTTAGAAACTGTCGTTGTCGATGACACCACATCACTTCAGGACTTCTTGCAGCAGAACGGCTTCACTGAGTATGACTTCATGTGTCCTTTGGCCAAGACCATTGGTATGATGAAGGTCATTGCAACTTGGCAAGTCCAAATCCGAGCTGTGCATTCAATTGCTCTATGGGATTCCAGTCTTTTCGCAGCGGATGATGTGGAGTAACTATGTGTTCCGAATAGCTCTAAATCATTCTAAATCCAAATACTGTACTTGCTGTCCTCGATATCCCACCTGCAGTCGAGCTGCTTGCGCCAGACAAGAACATATTTGCTGGCTCAGGTCTGCTTGTATGCAGTGAAATCTGACAGTTGGGAGGAGATATCATGCGATGCAATAAATAAATAAATACATAAACATAAATAAATAAATAACTAAATTAATTAAATAAATAAATAAATCCAATAGATACATTAAATACATAAAAAAATAAACAAATAAATGAATAAATAAATAAATAAACAAATAAATAAATAAATAAATAAATAAACAAACAAATAAATAAATAAATAAACAATAAACATGTATATATATATATATATACACACCAAATGTACATGAATATACAAGAAAACTGACAGGGCCGAAGATGGGATGATCTGATAGCGAGCTGGGCGCAGTTGGGTCGGGTCTACCACCAGAGCCGTGGCTGCACTGGAGACTTTGCCAGATCAACATGAGGTGGGCTTCCACGAAGCAGCTCAGAAGATGATGGCAGAGCTGACTGGTGAGCACAAGGCACCTGATGGCATTTGCGTTTTTGGAGCAGAAAAAAGAGAACGGATGAAAAAGATGAGAAAAGGAAGAAAAGGTGTCAACAAATCTTGAGAAATCAGCGTGTGGCTCTGCGTTGGACCCTATGAGGTTGGCTGGAACACCATCAATTCTGCCATGAAGGAGCCTTTCTTATGCTTTTCATCTATATGACGTTCCTAAAATGAGGCTACTCCAAATCATCCAATATTAGACCATTTGAGTATTGAAACCCATGATTATTTGTATATACAGGTCTCTGTGTGTGTAAGTGCAAGTGTAAGTGTAGAAGCACGTATGTATATATCAATGTGTATATACGTCTACATATATATATATATTATATTGATATATTATAAATTATTGTAATATTTTTCGTTCAGTTCTGCTGTACCTTCCTATCAAGTATTGCTTCCATTCTTCCAACCCGGAAGACTCGCTGCTCCTGGGAATCTCTGACACGCCAAAGTGTGTACATGCAGTGCTTGTAAGATGGATTGTAAGGCAAGCTTAGGGACAGATAAGGACAGAAGGTTCATGTCAACTGACTAGAATCGGCAGGACATGATCAAAAAGATCACAGACATGAAGTTCGAGCTGCCTCGGCAATCAGAGGCCTATTGCGTCGGCGCAGACAAACGGTGAAACACGGATCAAGTACATTTTGTTGGGCCTAGGGCCACTTCATTCGTACTGGAAAGCCAGCTTGTATTGCACGGCAGTATGAAGCGCTTTATGTCATTTTGGATTCATGTCACGTCATTATATTTTTTGGCTTCTTCTGCGCAATTCACTTTCGAACAACCTTTGCTTTCCAGAATTCGTGCGAAATATGTGGAGCCAAGCCACGGGCATCGCTTTGACTGAAAATGCAAGACTTCAGGATAGTATATATTTAAGACACGTAGTTCGGTCACTGCAGAATCGCAGGCGATTTAATTAGCGAAGAAGCGTGTCAGAACATGTTTCATCTCGGCAAACACTGGTTGTCTGCGCCAAGCGTGAGAGAGCAATAATTGGTACATGTGAATTAGTACGTGTTTCTAATATTATGCATACTGGTTAGAAAAAGTATAAAATAAGCATATCATATATGCATCAAGCGTCATATTCCACTACGTTCTGGGTCGTGTGACGGAGCTCCTGCTAGGAGCACTACAAGCGCACCTTCGTGGCTCTGCATGATGAGGTGCTCGCTGCCTTCCGGACCTTGTCAGAGGACAAGTGAGAGCAAGGCCAGGGGCGGCCACAGGGCGGCCAGGATGTGGGAAATGGGAAGAACCAGCAGGTTGGACAGGTGCAGATATGGGGTGGCCGTTTCTTTTTGTCACTTGCAAGTATTTTAGTACGTTGTTGATGTTTTTCTTCCTGTGTGATTTGTTGGTTGTAGACCGTTAGTATTTGTTTGTTGTGGTTTCTGGGCGGTAGACTGTTGATGGGGGCTAGTTGGTCGTGACTCGTTGCTGTTGTTTTGTTGTTCATACTGTTGCTACTGTCGCTACTGTTTCTACTGTCGCTACTGTCACTACTCGCTCCCGCTGTCGCTTCCGCTGTTGTTGTTGTTGTTGCTGCTGCGGTGGTGGTGGTGGTCGTCGTCGTCCTCGTCCTCGCCCTCGTCCTCGCCGTCGCCGTCGCTGTCGTTGTTGCTCTCGTCATTGTTATCATCGTTATTCTTGCCCTCGTCGAGTACGAAATTTGGAAGTAGTGCTTGTAATTAGGCACTTTAATCCTATTGCGCATGCAGACACACACACACACAAGGGTGCTTGCACTGACAGCTGCACAGATGTCCAAATCTGCGCCACTGGCAGGCAACTCTTGAGATACTGTGAGAATGCAGTCTTCTGATTCACTGCATGCATTCTCTATGTGGGGTGAATACGCCCAATGGAAGAAATTTGTGAAATTGTTTTGACATGTGTGCCATGCTCGCTGGCTTGACGCTTGATAAGCATCAAGTGGCATTAAGAATCATTGCTTCATAGATTTGTCATGATTTGTTCTTTCGACATTTTTCGACAAAAAGACTCAAAAAGGCATTTTGTCATCCCATTGCGAGAATGCGCAGACACCAAGGGCTCCGACCAGTCTTTTGACTGGAGCCGGCTGCAAACCATGTGGCCGAAAGCAGGAAGTAAGATGAAATAAGGTGCAACTAGACATAGAATGAAATGATATGAAATAGATGCAACATTATGCAACATGAAGCCATGCAACAATGCTAAACATCAATGCCGGAGCAGGAGGATAAAACGGCGCTGTGCAATCTGGTGCACCCGCTGACAGTCGATTTTGGCTTGAGGGTGGCAGATAACGCTCCTGCCAGAGCCCATCTTTTATGCTTGGAAGGGAAAAAGAACGCTTTGGTGAACCACTTTGGTGAACAGCTGCAAGCAACATTTCTTGTATAAGCGTTTGACAGGTTGTGAGTACAATGATAGTTGAGTACCACTGCAGATTTGGCAACAGAATTGACTGGATTGTGGGACCAAGTTGTTGAATGTACCAGTTGCTGCTAGTGACTTTGATTCTTCCTGCCAGACCTCAACAGACTGAACCCGCTTCAATGCTTCCGTTTTTCATTTTGTGAGGGGGCTGCTTCCCGACGCTGTTTTGCGTTCAGCTTAGTGGCCGGATATAAGCAAACCAGACACTATACCATGCTGTCTTCGGAGACAGGGAAACGAACGTGTCAGCTTTGTCTTCTGTGTTTGTCAAATCAGAGAATGTACAAATACCATCAAAGTATGCATATATGATCATATATGCCATATGCATATTGTATGCCTGTATGATCCTGTATGCATGTGACAATGTGCACCCTGCATGTACACGGGTTTCGACAGCCACGCGAATACTTTGGGGATGACCTCGGAAAGGGACAGGGATTGAAGGGGGAAGCGCTCCTGTCTTCGAGCGTGACATACCCACTGCATCCCACTGCTGAAAAAACCCTCTGCCATCCTCTGCATCTTTGTATCTCTTTGCTTAGTGCGTTGGTATTACTTTTTCTCGGCTTTTTGCACTGCCATTCATTTGTCCTGACTGAGCTGAGTTGCATCAGCTGCTTGAGCCACCCAACAGCGCGCACGAAGCACTGGGATCACTGATCACTGGGTAAATGAACAATGTTAGCAAGTTATGTAAGTTATGGCTAGTGTACGAACAGCACAGTACTGGGGCTCGTACTATCACAATCGAGATGTGGCTTTGATTGGCTACCATTGCCATTTTTTGTGCCATTTTCTGCATCTCCGAGGTCTTCCTTCCAGAGCCATCTGAAGTGCCTCTGGATTCTGCGACGCAGGGTTTCCGGCGGGTGCAGGTTCCCCTCGTGGGTTTCGCAGAGCATCAACATGTATCAGCAGTATCCAGAGCAAGATAACTTCAGGATAGTTCCAACTGGGAGGTGATCCAGGCAGAATTTTGGCATGTAACAGTGGATAGCCCTTTCAAATCAAAAGCTGGTTGTCTGGGACCACCAAACTGCACCGTGTATACGATGTCCTTGTGGCGGAAATGAGATTGCAAATCATTTGCAGTGGATCTCTTCAGAGTCCTACCAGAGCACTGCAGCCTGGAGGTCGGCCATACTGTGGTGGGGAGAATGGAGCCAGAGCAGGCGAAAGATGGGAGTTTCCAGTCAGCTGAAGACGCTTTGTTTTTGGGGGGTCATGAAAGGGAAAGGTGCGAGCAACGCAACGTGACAATTCTGGCAACGCGCATGAAAATGCATTTTATCACGAAAGATAGCGGTAGCTAGATGGAGTTTGGAGTTACTCTTGCTTCAGCAAAAGGAGGGGGTCTGCACAGATTTTCACTCGAACCCCCCTCCTTCCCCCTCCTCAACCCAGATGGTCACGGGCTCAAATCCTGCCGGGTCTCTAGGCAATCTGTATTCAGCTTTTCAACTCCCATCAAAATCCCATCGTGTTTCCAGGCTCATATGAACCTTAGCTTTCGTTCACCCCCCCTTGGGCCTCAAGAGAAACCAATTCCGATTTATATGATTTCACAGCTTGATCGATAAAGGCATGATCGCAGGCGGATGTAAGCAGGATTGAAGGGAGGCCATTTGTCGACAACTATGAGAAATGTCAATGGTACTGGTGGGTTAGGTCCAAGCTTTGGTTGTGGCTCTGGATCCATTGGACCTCCAGGTTGGTCTCACTTCTTTGCTTCGTCGCTGGGGGCGAGCAGGCTCGGGGTCGGCTCAACAGCTGTGAGTTGCCAACAGATTCTTCAACAAAGCAACGGGGGTGCAATTTGAGATATTTCGAGATGGACAGTATCAGATGAGTCGAACCCGAAAGGATCAGCAGTAGAAGGAGCTCTGCGACTCCAGGGCTGGGTGCTGATGCAGCGAATCTTGTCCCTCCTGACAAGGCGCTCTGAGATTCTTTGAACTGGAACATGTGCAACATGTGTTGAGTTGTGGTAGTGGGGGAAGGACAACATGATACCCTCCTTTTCACACAAGGGCTTTCTCACCTTTGCATTTTGTATCCCATGGTGTTATCCAAAGGGACAGGCTCTTAAAGATTCCAAGAAGACTTTCTGCAACTGAATTTTCATCAACATTCTTTATACAGAATGGACATGAATGCACTATGACTTAAACAATCTTAAACAATCTTAAACATACTTACTGTATATAGTTAGTCTATGACACTATTGTAATATATTGTCATTATGATAGACTCGCTGCCAGGGTGCCTCCGTTGATTCATCCTTGTGACCGATAGACCTGCTTTGAATCAACCATTTTGACTTCATACGTTGTCCACCTTCCTTCCTATTCCTTCATCCTCCAGTCAAGTCATGTCAAGTCATTCTGAGGCCCTGTTGCCGTTTTGATGTCACACTGTTGAGGCGTCGCCTTGCGGAGCCAGGCCTATTTTATGCACAACCATTTGGTATAGGGGTAACGGGAAGAACTCAGAAGAACCGAGCATTTTGACGGATCCTGCAGGAACTGTGCAACCGTTGCTTTTCAATTGAATGCTTTGATGTGGTGTTTGATACCTTTGCGTCTGGACACTTGTCTTCGTTGGAAGAGCATCCGATTCTAATTCTTCTTGCCGATTGAGGATGTTTGATGTGCAGGTCGAGGTCCATTGCTTGCATGGCATCCCAATGCTCCTGAACTTGCTTCCGTGTGCCGCGGTCATGTAGCAGTGCATCGTCAGAAGCTCAAAATTTGTGTGACTCATGTCCAAAGCTCTGAGGTGTTTGACAACATTCCTAAATACAGGAAGCTATTGTAATTCAGAGGCAGCTGTTCTAAGAGGCAGCTACTGTGATTACTGCCAAATGCAGCGTTTCATTCGGCTTCTTTGAATCTGTTTACTACTTTATTTTCCAATGTACCCTGCTGACATGCACAAAGTGGAGTAAGGTCTGGGTGACGGTCTTATGCGCGAGGCAAGCACAACCCACCTTCACGTCGAGGCAAATGGCTTTTATGAGGTTGACCGACATTTGTTTGATGCAGAGTTCATGTTGCAGACCAATGACATGTTCAGCACCGGCAGGGGCCAGAAAGCAAAACATAAGTTGTTGTCTTGGCCTGGCTCAGATGCGGTCTATTCTTTGCGTGGCATGGCAGCCATGTGACTTGAGGAGCACTTTAGCAGCACCTTGTCTGCCAGATGCATAGGGCTACGCTGAAGAGACACGCGTCTAGCTTGGATCATTGTCGCAACTTCAATGCATTTTTTTGTTAGCAGTAAGCACTGTAAGCAAATTTATAGGAGACATGCCCTAGGCATCAGGCAGGTGCGTCTCAGACGGTGACCATGCATTCGAACAGGTCGCTGGTTCAGACGCCATTGCACTCTGGCGTGCAAACGGTGCTTCATCTGGCGGCTGGTTGCGTGTTTGGGCTCTTGCCGGAGAGGCGCACATCGGAAAGGAGGTTGGTGGGGCCTGGAGAAGGTTTCCTCTCCACATTTCTCCACACCTGTTTCCTTGTTTGTTTGATTTTGTTTGTCAACATAGATGACAACCTGGGCTTGCTGTTTGTTTTGTTTTTTCATATCATACTTGTGTGCGCTGTTTTCATGTCAACCACTCATTCAAAATTATTAAACATAGGTAGATCTCTGATGTTCTTCCCCACTCTTCTTTGGTTGTGGATGCAGTTTGTTCATCACTAGATTGATGATCCTCCATTTCCAATACATACTTCGGAAATAGACAGAGATAGAGAGAAGAGACTAAGCATGACATGGGTTATACGACGATCGAGAATTCAGGTTCTTATACTATTATGATTCTGATGGTCTTCTCACTTGATGTCTTATCAGTTTCTTAATCTTGGTCGAACTATATGTGAACCGATAATTGATCGACAATTGATGTCAACAATTGATGTCCCTTGGCCATGCGGAGTTTCGTTCAGGCCTTTGGCTCTTCCGCTTTGTCATGGGCGCCAGATGGCCGGCTCCTGGCAGCAGGGGGACCATTTGGTGCTGCGCGGTGGCCAAGAACTCCTGCCGAGCTAAGCAACCTTGTAAAAAAATGTAAAGAAACCATAAAAAACCGAGTAAAGCAAGCCAAGAAGAGCCAAGAGCATGGCAAAGCGGCAAAGACACAAATGCAAGAATAAATTAAACATCTCTGCGTCACATGTATCCAATCTTGCGGTATATGTTTGATTTGTTCCCAACAGCGATTCTGTTGGGTTTCAATCTCTGGGGCTGGGAGTGGTGCCAGCAAAATGCAAGATCCGGAAAACTGGAACACTGCCGGAACCTCGCTGGAACCCCGTTGGAACCCTGCTGGGACGTTGCTGGAACCTCGCTGCTGGAACCTTGCTGGAATGTCGCTGGAATGTCGGTGGAATGTTGGTGGAACCTTGCTAGAGCCTTGCTAGAGCCTCGCTGGAAAATTGCGGAAATCTGAAACCTTGCTGGAACCTCGCTGGAACCCTGTTGCTGGAACCCCTGGCTGGAACATCTTTTTGGGAACCGTTTTTCTTTTTATATTGTTTCTTGCTTTGCTTATTGTGCCGGGTTGTGATGTTGGAAGTCTGGCCTGAACTTTGTTGGAGCAGTTTTGCAACCATGCTGGAACCTATATATTATATGAAGGCAACTTCTGCATTTTCTTTGGGTTTCCTTTTGCTTCTTAATTTTTTGTTGTGGCAGGCAATTAAAGACGATGATCCCTTGCTGAGACTGTGATGCTGGAATCCTTGCCTGAACCTTTGAAGGAACCCTTTGCTGGAACCCTTGCAGGATTGCCTTGCCCTGCAGGATTTCCTTTCAGGAAGCCTTGCAGGAACCTTTCCGGAAGCCATAATAAAACTTGCGGATTTTGTTTGAGTTTTGTTTTAATAGTTTGCATTTTTCTCTTCTTGTAATGTGCAGGGCTGTTTCATGTTTCAGCAATTCCTAACCATGGAACCCTGAAAAATCTGGAGCGATAGACCCTGGAATTCTGGAACCTTGGAACTCTGAAGCCCTAAAAACTTGGAAACCTGCATCCTTGGGATCATGGTGCAAGCTCTGGAACCCTGTAATCCCGGAACTCTGAAATCTTGGATCTTGGCAACCATTGAAACCTGCAACCTTGGATTCCAGGAGCCCTGCAACCTTGAAACTTTGGAACCCTGCAACCTTAGAATTCTACAACCCTGGAGCTCTGGAATTCCGAAACCTTCGACCCTTTGCAAATCTGGAACCTTTGTGCCTGCTTGCCGTGAACCCTGATAAACTTGCGCGCTGGAAACCATCAAACTTTATCTGAAACTTTGAACTTTGGGACTCGCATAGTATGGATCCCTTTGTCCGTGGAGTCTAGGAACCAGGAAACTTGGAGTGCTGGAACTATGAAACTCTAGAGTCATGGACTTTTGGAATCCCGAACTTGGCCCCTTGCAACCTTAGAGCCTTGCTACCCTGGCCGGAAACCGAAAACCTTGTGAAACACTTTGAACCTTGGAACCTTGTGAAACTGTAGAATTGACGCTTTACATCGCTTTACTATGGATCATAATGTGTTTTGCATTTGCTTTGCATGGTGCTGATCATTTCGTTGTTGATGAGCCAAACCAAGACGATTACACGTCCGGAACCTTGATGCTTGGTACAGTACCTGGAACCCCAGAACCCTGGCAATCTAGAACTCTGGAACCTTGGAACTCTTGAAACCTGCAACCTTGGCAACTATGGAATCCTGGAGTCCTGCAAAACCTTGGAACCTTGCCCGATAACGTTGCAACCTTGGAATCCTGGAACCTGCTTTTGGGTTGCAAAGCTGAGTTAATATGCTGTACAGTATGGTGCAGTATGGGAGCGATACCACTTGAATGTAAATGCGCTTTAACGCAGCTGGTTGTGCAGCGGGAAAACAGTGTTTAACCACAGTTGAGGTCCATGTCTTGGGGCCCCACAGTGAGCTCATTGGTCAGCAGGCCACAGCCTTGGATCACGGTGACTTTCATTGCATCACCGCTGTTGGTTTTGGGGCAAGCGGCTAAGCTAAGCAGCCTCAACCATTGCAGGAAGTAGGCTACTGATGGCTACTGACGAACATATAAGACCAGCAGTACCGCCAAACATGATTGCCTGTTCAAGCGATGCGATCCGGTAAGAAAAACTACAGACTTGGAAGAGATCATGGGAATGAATTTGGGCTGAACGAATGCAGTGGACATATGTGGAGCATGTGCCACTTCGTGCTTTGCAATGCTTGGTGTGTTCTCTGTGAAGAACTACCAAGGAGCTGCCCAGCCATTTTATTCGCCTTCGGCGCTGGTTCAGCGGAGGCAGAAGCCCGCAGGATACAGATTTCTTGACAAATAACACGCCTTTCCTGCAGTCAATTTCTCAATTATATACTTGAAAAAGTTGAAGTGGCTTTCAGGAGTTGTAAAGGTTAGGTCAAGTATGCAACATGATAGACCGATGATGGATCGTCCCTGCCGAGAAATATCTGGCAAACAGTGGGTACGGTATGATACTGTGGATGTATGTGGGAATTGGAACATTTGAAACGTCAATGCGATCAAATTGCACTGTGCTCATGCTGGACTCTTCCTCTTTGCACGCCAGGGGCTGTGCTGCGAATAGCTTGGTCTCCCGAGGCGACATTGTTGGCGGCAGGGAGCCCCAAAGAGGAGCCTTTTGTCACAGTTTTCTTGGACACATTTGGATACATTTGGACATGTCAATGTGTGTTTTCATTGTTTTTCTTGGCCAATGTTTTCCCCAAATCACTTTAGGTCAGGATTAGAGGTGTCAGACATCTGACAGCGACAAAGAGGTAGAAGTGGAGCACCCTTTGGACTTGCTATGCTGAGGTGCTCCATCGTGGCAACGAACCGCTTGTAAGGCTTTGGAAGACCCAAACCTGGGAGGCCAGGGAAATGGACAGAGGGATGCAGATGGTTTTGTTCAATGTGGCTGAACAGTGACATGATATCCGACTCGCGGTCGAGCGACTTTCCTGGGTTCAGCTTGCGTTGCCACGTATTTGGCTTCACACACTACCCTTGAATCGCAGTAAAAAAGACTCACTAGCCGCCACTAGCCCAGACCATCCCAGACCATCCCAAGCCTTTTTTCTGCTCTGTTTCGACTCCCTGGCGTCACTGGTTCACTGGTGTGAGGTGGCTGTACACGTTGGACTTGGATGGGTTCCTGCAGGACTACCAGGCCATTCTTGAACTGCTTTGAACCGCTTTGAACCACTTTGGAATTCTTTGGATGTACAGTATTTGATCATTTGTATGCAGTAGATATTCCTCGTCGATTCACACATGACCTGAAGAACAAGCCGAAGTTTGGGATTATTTCATATTCATATTATTCATGCCATTGCTCTTGGTCATTGGCTAAGTCATGCTAAGTTCAACTTTACGCATAAGCGGTGCCGCTTCCATTGAACTGGGGCCCAAACAGTTGTGCGCTTTTTCTCTTTTCCCCCACAAAGGCTTCTCCTTAGCATGGTTGAATGGCGACACACTGCTCGCAACTGGTGGTGGTCATCTGGTGGAGATCGGCATAGGCCCAGCCAAAAGATGCACGAAGCATCTGGCACAGTTCCACACAAATCTGTTTTGATCCACTTTGCCTTTCCACATTTGGGGCTATGAAGCAAACAGGAGAGTGTGCAAGCACGACTAGACAATCCTTCAATGCGTTGCTACCCGTCTGCAGGAAGTCCGGGTGTTGTGAATGCAGGCAATGCTCACTTGGGCCAGGAGATGGCATTCCAGATTGAGCGATTCAATGGAAAGCAGATCAGTGTGATGGTGTTACTAGTATGGTGTTGTATATGATTATATCATATTATATCTATAGATATTCAACTCAGTCATAATGTTTACGTCAAAACGTTTCGTTATTGGATCGTTTGCGTTTTTTGCCTTTCAAACCACAGTGTTTGTTTGTGTCATGATGCTTTGATACTGTAGGACTCTAGGCCTTTATTCCCTGCCAACATCTGCAAAGTATCCGCGTTTCAAAGCTGAACCCCTCTGATCCGTTGATCCAAGATGGTCCAAGATGGTCCAAGATGGTCCAAGATGGTCCAAGAATCTCAGCGCAGGACACGACCCTACTGGGTCTGTCTGGCGCCGAGTCAGAGGTGAGAGCTGTACCGCTAGCTCAGGACGAAGGGCTGAGACACAGCTTTCGAACTGGCCATAAAGCCATCATAAAACCGATAAAACGAGCACCGGTGACAAGTTATCAAGGGATAATCCATGACAATCCAATCCAATTTCAATCACAATCCAAATATCCAAAAAGCAACAAGACACTTACACTACTGGTCACTACTCTAGTGTCTAGGACGAAGGGAGGTTTTCCATCTTGCTTCGGAGCTTAATGTAAGGTACCTGTAGGATCTTGTAGGCAAGACCAAGACACCTGGAGACAAGAAAGCAAGTCATGTACAACACACCTGCTGAACATCCAGCAAGTTCTAGCAACTCCCAGTGCAGTGACAGCAGCTTCCTACATGGGAGCTTACAAAAAGATGAGCTGCCCCGCACCATCAGGCTGAAAAATAGAGCCACACCTTTGGCCTTTCACTATTGAAACATATTGAAACCAGATGTTTGTCCAGCCTTGGAACTTGTGGCATCTTGTAACTAATGTTGAATGCTTTCCCAAAACTTATCCTATCTCTGTGCTTCAAAGGCTTCAAACACTTCAGATATGCCATGCCACGGCCATGTCTCAAAGTCATCTCGTAAGCTCCAGGATGCAACGGTGCAAGAAGTGGCAGTTTGCCCCCGCACAACGCAGCGTGTGGCCTTGCGATTAGACAAGCGAAGCGAGGTGTGTTGTGGGAAACCAAGGGATGGAGCTTGGGTCGTGTGGCTTGCGGCAGGAAAAGACAAAGGCTAGGCCTAGGCTGAGTGACGCACGCAACAACCCTTAGCACGCTTGGCATTTCACCGCTCAGGATACCTATTGAAGTCTTCAACATAGGGTGTGAGACAGACAATTTTACCATGTTGGACTTTGGGACTGCAAAGGGTGCATTCTGCTACGCCTGGTATGCGTCATGCCAGGTTTTTATCTATGAGCGAGCTACCTGCGGTTTGGCAGGATGGTCACAACGAGAGCTTCAACCTCAGAACATCTCAGAACATCTCAGAACATCTCAGAACATCTCAGAACATCTCAGAACATTCAGAACCTTCCTGCAAACTTGCGAAACCAGACGGTGTGTTGCCAGCCAGAAAGCATGGTCCCAAAGTGGCATGGCTGACTCTGTTAAGCATGGAGTGCAAGAACATCCAAGAACTACAAAACATAGGCAGTAAAAATTGTCAAGCTGGCAGAAGAAGTCTGGAGTTCTGTGTCGTATCATGTCGTATTTGGGATCTTTTGCCTCTGTCTTCACTCAAGGCATCTGCCTATGTTTTCAAGGGCAATTGGGCAATTTTCATTTTGCTAGAATTGGAGTCTGCAAAGTCCACAGTAAGTCCTCCTGGTCTTCCAAATTAGCCCAGAAGGCGAGTTGAAAGATAAGGCAAGAAAGCAATACATAAAGCGATCGCATTGAGCATATTGAAGTAGCCTGGGTTAGTTCGGTCTTACGATTCCTAGATTCTTGTTTGTTGTGATTCATCCTGAGAAATCTGAGTGGAACATAGATGAAACATGATGAAACTAGTGGACACATATGTGGAAACACCTTGGCCTTGTCCAAACTCAGTGTTGTCCAAACAGTGAGCTGCTTTAAACACCTTATAACATCTTATAACATCTTTAAACATCTTGCAACTCACTGTGTTGCAGTTTGTTGCGAGGCTGATGCCCTGTGGACGCTTAGCCACCCAGGGTGCCTTCCCACAAGCGCTTGCCTTCGCAGAGAAGGCCAAGGTCATTGGCAGTGCGAACAGCACAGAAGGCCCATTGGATCACAGTCCCATTTGTGAAAGCGGTTTGCATATGTTTATATGATTTATATGCATACACATTATATTCCCATATATTCCCATTGTTTTCGAACGCTTTTGTATTCATGTCTAAAAACAGACATGTGCTATCGTCTTGCACGTTTATCCCCCGGTTCGTTTCCCATGAAAAACCTTTCAACCCACTGCTGAGATCAGCGCAAAGCTTTTACATGTTGTGACATGCATTTCTGCTGATGATACATCCGATCCCAAATCCAGTTGGTTTCCTGATCAAAGACTGCAGCACTTTTGGGAGTGAGCTTTCTGAATACCAAACTGCTCTGAAAGTCTTGGTTTCCACATCTGTGTTTTGCGGAAATCATCACCAGTCCTCACTGGCTTTTTTGTCTACATACTCTGTTCTCTTGGGCCAAAGGCTCTCTGCTTGCGGTCCATTGGCTCTTTGACTCAGGGCACAATGAGGTTGGAGAAACAGCTGCAAAACAAAATTTGACAAAACAGTACGAAATTGTAGGGTAAACATGGGTAAACAAGATCAACGAGATCCCTATATTGTAGTGGAAAAAGGGCACATGTTACACATGTTCTTGAGGTTTCTTGTTTCAGATTTTGCAGTGCTCGGTTCTGATTGCAAGTTTGCGAAGCAAGTCTTTGTCATTGAGTTCTTTGTTTTTTTTGCTGCGCTATCTAGCTTTTCTTTCACCCCGGAGATGTTCTATTGTTGTCATATGAATATGTTTTTAAAAATTTGTTGCTGGGGACTGCATCTTGTCTTTCCTGATCTTGTTGTTTACTTTGTTCAGAGACCTACCAAGGATTCACTCCTTTGGATCGGCAAAATAATCCTTCGAAGAATCGGAAAAATATCGACGATGAATTTTGGAACTCGCACAACATCTTGTGTAGTTGGGGCATGTTGGGGCAGCTAGCCCCAGCCCGTTGACTCTGGTCTCAAATCAAAGCAGGGCACGTTCGGTTATTGGCTGAGTTGGCTGTCCTTGAAGGTGAGAACGTATCCATTTCACTACTTGCCTGCAAAGCTCTTGCAAAATGGTGCAGCCGATGCCTAAGTTTGAAGGACAATTGAGAAGTGTATTTAGCCCCAGCGGTAATGCAACGACTCTAGACCGTTTGGGATCCAACCTTTGAAGTTTCTTCTGCCCTGGCTGGCACCTGGTAGATGGATAGGAGCTCTAAACGGGAGATGGATACGCTGCTTTGCCGCTTTGCCAGCTGAGGATGCGAATGCACTCTTCTAGATCTCCTAGCAGCAGTGGCTGAACGCTGCACCATGCTGCACCGGAAACATTTTGCAGAGATCTCTGGTTTGGTCAGAGCAGATCTCTGCAGTGTCAGCTCTCCAAGCTAGAAAAGACTTCGCCACGAGATGCCACGAGCTTCCAGGGAATTGCTGGATCGTAGGCGGTATTGTAAGATAGCAACTGTTTTAATATGTTTTAATTGCAAGCTGTAATGGTATACTATACAATATGCAGTATACATGTGCAAATAGCATAACCTTGTTGGATATCCAACTTCATGCAGTATATTTTGTGCATATATGCATGTATATGCCGCTGTGCATATCATATGTTCCACTGGTTCATTTTGGCTCATATTCACAAACCAATGTGAGCATTAAAAAGTACATGTTGCATTGCAATTTCAATAGTTGTGGCGATCTGAGAGACACCAGCAAGAGATACAGTGGCTTGTTTTTGAAAGATAGGCTTTGACGACCTCAGCTTTTGATGAAGAGGTCTATAGGCAGATGTGTGTCACTCTTGGTATCGGAGAAGCTGAAGGGTAAAGCGTTCGAACCATGGCGTTCTCTGTGCTTGCATGGCTTTGACATTATTTGAAGATTTTGAAGCACGTGAGTGTGCTGTACTAGTAATTGGCCATGCCATGGCCCGAGCTGCCAGATGAAGAGGCGGTCTTGCTGCAAGCTTCTTTTGTGAATGATGAAATTCCCTTTGTTACACTGAGATACACTGAGTCATTTGTTGTTCTGCAAGATTCTGCCATTGAGGCAGAAAAGCTGTTCGCAGAGGTCTTTCCAGATTCCTCAAAGCTGGATGCTTCTCAGCTGGAAAAGCACTACTCAGTGAGCAGACAGATGCACTTCTTTCGCACTACCAGTGATTACCATACTGTACCATACCGTGAAGGTGGATTCATCCATTGGAACAAAATACAACGGCCCAAGAAGATACAATTCGACGGCCCCCCCAACTTCCACTTTCGGCAAGGCCTACGCCATGGCCTTGGACGACATCCAGGCAGCTTCAATCTGCGAGTGACTGCGAAGACAGCTAAGACTGCGAAGTTCTGCGAAGACTTCTAAATTTATTTATATACAGTATTTTAATGTATTTTACAGAATTTATTTACTGACACTGAAGGCATGCTGCTGATGCTCCACCGCTTTCTGCCATGGAACAGTTTGACTATCTGGTCTATCTGCAAGCCTGATAAAGGGGTTACTGTAGGAGGTAGACGACAGCGCAACATATTTAAGCCACCCATGGTGTCACGATGACAGCAAGTCTGTGTTTGGAGGATGGGTTGTACCTGGTCTTGCAAGCCACGGCCCTTGTTAGGGCAGGGCAAGTCCTATGTGCGAACCAAGAAAATATCTAAATCAATACTGCAGACTGTATCACTTGCTTGGACTGCGAAGGCAAACACAACTCCCTCGCCTTGCTTTGTGCAGGTGTTTGAGGAAGCTGGTCACTGCAGAGACCTGCTCTCAGAGTTGCCAATAACGCTTTGACATGAAGATGGTTAGTCAAAACCTCCAAGCTGTGGCTTTGGCGAAACATTTCTTTCTCGTCTTCTTTCACTTGACGCAATCCGCGGATGTACTGGTATGGACTGGTGTTGTCACGCAACATGAGTTTTTGGTTTCAAAGCGGACAAGCACTGCTGTTTCCACATTCCTGCAGTTCTTTCCTTCTTGCCTACTAGACGGATGACTGTGCTTGACTTCTCTTTATGTATCTTGGCGTTTGTCCAGTGAGATTGCTCCTATTCTTTGGATTCTTTGGAGTGCGAAGTTGTGGGAAGTTGAGGGTGCGATGAATGTTCAACATGCCAGGTCTTATGGTGTTTTTATTGTTTTTGTATAATATCGATCAGAAGCCACCTAGGCTTATTGCTTTGTTTGATTTTCACGTGAAACATGTCAAACTTGAAGTCCCTGCAAGGACACTGATGGTGGATTCGTGGATGGATGTGGATGTTAGGTACATGAAAAGACTGCCTGTGATGAATATTTTCCGCAATCAAGCTCAACAGGTCCAAGCTGTGGCTTTGACGAAACACTTCTGGTCTTCTTTCACCTGATGCAGTCTACATGCCACTGGTGTATTGTTATGCGACATGGGTTTGATTTGATTGTGAATCGGACAAGCACTGCTGTTTCCGCAATCTTCCCGCTTTTTAGGCAACGTGCTACTGGTAGGTCTTATGGTGTTATTATTATTTTTGTATAATATCGATGAGAGGCCACCTAGGCTTATTGCTTTGTTTGATTTTCACGTGAAACATGTCAAACTTGAAGATCCTGCAAGGACACTGATGGTGGATTCGTGGATGGATGTGGATGTTAGGTACATGAAAAGACTGCCTGTGATGAATATTTTCCGCAATCAAGCTCAACAGGTCCAAGCTGTGGCTTTGACGAAACACTTCTGGTCTTCTTTCACCTGATGCAGTCTACATTGCCACTGGTGTGTTGTGATGCGACATGGGTTTGACTTGATTTTGAATCAGGCTAGCACTGTTGTTTCCACATTCCTGCAGATCTTTCCTTCTTGCCTACCAGACGGATAACTGTTCTTGACTTCTCTTTATTTATCGTGGCGTTTGTCCAGTGAGATTGCTCCTATTCTTTGGATTCTTTGGAGTGCAAAGTTGTGGGAAGTTGAGGGCGCGATGAATGTTCAACATGCCAGATCTTATGGTGTTTTTATTGTTTTTGTATAATATAGATCTGAGGCCACATAGGCTTACTGTAATGCTTTGTTTGGTTTTCACGTGAAACATGTCAAACTTGAAGTCCCTGCAAGGACACTGATGGTGGATTCGTGGATGGATGTGGATGTTAGGTACATGAAAAGACTGCCTGTGATGAATATTTTCCGCAATCAAGCTCAACAGGTCCAAGCTGTGGCTTTGACGAAACACTTCTGGTCTTCTTTCACCTGATGCAGTCTACATGTCACTGGCGGGTTGTGATGCGACATGGGTTTGATTTGATTTTGCATCAGGCTAGCACTGTTGTTTCCACATTGCTGCAGATCTTTCCTTCTTGCCTATCAGACGGATAACTGTTCTTGACTTCTCTTTATGTATCTTAGCGCTTGTCTAGTGAGATTGCTCCTATTCAATTCTTTGGATTCTTTGGAGTGCAAAGATGTGGGAAGTTAAGGGCGCAATGAATGTTCAACATGCTAGGTCTTTTTGTGTTTTTAGTGTTTTTGTATAATATGATCTGAGGCCACATAGGCTTAATGCTTTGTTTGGTTTTCACGTGAAACATGTCAAACTTGAAGATCCTGCAAGGACACCGATGGTGGATTCGTGGATGGATGTGGATGTTAGGTACATGAAAAGACTGCCTGTGATGAATATTTTCCGCAATCAAGCTCAACAGGTCCAAGCTGTGGCTTTGACGAAACACTTCTGGTCTTCTTTCACCTGATGCAGTCTACATGCCACTGGTGGGTTGTGATGCGACATGGGTTTGATTTGATTTTGAATCAGGCTAGCACTGTTGTTTCCACATTCCTGCAGATCTTTCCTTCTTGCCTACCAGACGGATTGTTCTTGGATTGTTCTTGACTTCTCTTTATGTATCTTAGCGCTTGTCCAGTGAGATTGCTCCTATTCTTTGGATTCTTTGGAGTGCAAAGTTGTGGGAAGTTGAGGGCGCGATGAATGTTCAACATGCCAGGTCTTATGGTGTTTTTATTGTTTTTGCGTAATATAGATCAGAGGCCACCTAGGCTTATTGCTTTGTTTGATTTTCACGTGAAACATGTCAAACTTGAAGATCCTGCAAGGACACTGATGGTGGATTCGTGGATGGATGTGGATGTTAGGTACATGAAAAGACTGCCTGTGATGAATATTTTCCGCAATCAAGCTCAACAGGTCCAAGCTGTGGCTTTGACGAAACACTTCTGGTCTTCTTTCGCCTGATGCAGTCTACGTGCCACTGGTGGGTTGTGATGCGACATGGGTTTGATTTGATTTTGAATCAGGCTAGCACTGCTGTTTCCACATCCCTGCAGTTCCTTCCTTCTTGCCTACCAGACGGATTGTTCTTGGATTGTTCTTGACTTCTCTTTATGTATCGTGGCGTTTGTCCAGTGAGATTGCTCCTATTCTTTGGATTCTTTGGAGTGCAAAGTTGTGGGAAGTTGAGGGCGCGATGAATGTTCAACATGCCAGGTCTTATGGTGTTTTTATTGTTTTTGCGTAATATAGATCAGAGGCCACCTAGGCTTATTGCTTTGTTTGATTTTCACGTGAAACATGTCAAACTTGAAGATCCTGCAAGGACACCGATGGTGGATTCGTGGATGGATGTGGATGTTAGGTACATGAAAAGACTGCCTGTGATGAATATTTTCCGCAATCAAGCTCAACAGGTCCAAGCTGTGGCTTTGACGAAACACTTCTGGTCTTCTTTCGCCTGATGCAGTCTACATGCCACTGGTGGGTTGTGATGCGACATGGGTTTGATTTGATTTTGAATCGGACAAGCACTGCTGTTTCCGCAGTCTTGCCCCTTTTAGGCAACGTGCTACTGGTAGGTCTTATGGTGTTTTTATTTTTTTTGGATAATATAGATCTGAGGCCACATAGGCTTATTGCTTTGTTTGATTTTCACGTGAAACATGTCAAACTTGAAGATCCTGCAAGGACACTGATGGTGGATTCGTGGATGGATGTGGATGTTAGGTACATGAAAAGACTGCCTGTGATGAATATTTTCCGCAATCAAGCTCAACAGGTCCAAGCTGTGGCTTTGACGAGACACTTCTGGTCTTCTTTCACCTGATGCAGTCTACATGCCACTGGTGGGTTGTGATGCGACATGGGTTTGATTTGATTTTGAATCAGGCTAGCAGGGCTAGCACTGCTGTTTCCACATTCGTGCAGTTCTTTCCTTCTTGCCTACCAGACAGATAACTGTTCTTGACTTCTCTTTATGTATCTTGGTGTTTGTCCAGTGAGATTGCTCCTATTCTTTGGATTCTTTGGAGTGCGAAGTTGTGGGAAGTCGAGGGCGCGATGAAGGCAACACGCTACAGTAGGTAACAGTGTGTCCACACTGAGGGGTTCTTACGGTAGGAGTTAAGGCCGAGGTTAGATCAGGGTGCTCCATTGCCTTGCGGCCTTGCGGCATTTTTCCTGTATATACATTCTCGCATAAAATTGCTCTTGTGAGATGTCCAAGTGCATTTCGACTGCGCAGGCTAGCACAAAACGTGCGGCTAACTTCTGGGGCCGGCATTTTTCCTGTAAACATGTCCATGTGCATTTCGACTGTGCAGGCTTGCGCAAAATGTGGGTAACGGGGTTGTTCCGGTCTTGGCGCGGCATTTTTCCTGTAAATTCTCGCGTTAAATGGCTCTTGTGAGAAGTGCAAGTGCATTTCGACTGCGCAGGCTCGCACAAATGTGGGTAATTAACGGGGTTGTTTCGGTCTTGGGGCGCGGTATTTTTCCCGTAAATTCCCCAGCCAGTGTGTCCACACTGAGCGCTCTGACCCCCTTTTTCCTGTAAGTTATCGCATACAATGGCTCTTGCGAGATGTCCATATGCATTTCGACTGCGCAGGCTCGCACAAAACGTGGGTAACGGGGCTGTCCCCGTCTTGGGGTGCGGCATTTTCCTGTAAATTCCCCAGCCAGTGTGTCCACACTGAGCGCTCTGATCCCTGGTGTAAGTTTTTGCATAAAATTGTTTTTGTGAGAAGTCCATGTGTATTTTGATTGCGCAGGCTCGCACGAAGTCTGCCCCGCCGGGTTCTCAAAGTCTTGGTCTGGGGCATTTTCAATGTAAATTCTCGCATGAGCGGCTTCTTCGGAGATGTCCATGTGCATACTGGTAAAGGCATCTTATGAGTTCTTTGGAAGGTCCTTTTGTGACGATCTTGCAAGAGTTGCATGGTGCAGTCTTAGAGGTCCGTAATATATGAAGATCTTGACCAGGTTCTTGTAGAGGTCCTTGTGAGAAGATGTTGTGAAGATCCCGATAGAATACTGTCAGAGGTTCTTGCATGATCTTGTACCCTTCCTTCTGAGAAGATCTTGTGAAGATCCTGCTGGCATCCTGTAAGAGGTCCTTGCGTGATCTTTCGCAGATCCTTATGAGAAGATCCCGCGTCTTGGTGAAGTCCTTTCTAAGAGGTCCTTGCATGATCCTGTACACTGTACAGGCCCTTAACAGAAGATCTTGTGGAGATCCTGGTGAGATCCTCTCTAAGAGGCCCTTGCGTGAGGAGCTTGGAGATGCCATGTCGCAAAGGTGCTTGTATGAAAGCTCTTGTGGGAGGCTCTTGTATCAAGATCTTGTCAGATCCGCTCCAGCAGCAGCAAGTCCATTTTTGACGATCTTGTGAAATTTGTGAGGTTCTCTTACGGGTCCTGGCATGAAGATCTTGCTCAGGGTCTTTCCACTTCCTTGTGCGAAGGTCTTGTGGAGATCCTAGTGAAATGCTGTCAAAGGCCCTTGCATGATCTTGTACAGGTCCTTGTGAGAAGCCCTTGAAGAGGTTCTGATGAAATCCTCCCGGTGTGCTTGCATGATCTGGTGCAGGTCCTTGAGATTTTGTTGAGATCCTGTTGAAATCCTGCTTAAGACAAGAGTCATAGGAAGTTCTTGTATGAAGATCTTGTGAGCTCCTCGATATAGATTTATATAGGTCCTGCTGCAGTTGCGATACTGTTCCATAGCTACTGTTGCTTGTATCTGGCACAGTGATTTCCTACCCCCCACTGTTTGGGGCCTCTTGCCGGCGTATTTTTTGGTTTTTGTATATGGGAGAGGGGGGACTACATATTATATATTAGGACGTAGCTCTACCACGTTTTTGACGGGTCTCTTTAGAGAGTTTTTATAGCCTTAACTTTTAGTTTTTATAGCCTTAACTTTTAGTTTTTATACACTTAACTTTTAGTTTTTATACACTTAACTTTTAGTTTTTATACCCTTAGCTTTTAGTTTTTATAGCCTTAACTTTTAGTTTTTATACACTTAACTTTTAGTTTTTATATACTTAACTTTTAGTTTTTATACACTTAACTTTTAGTTTTTATACCCTTAACTTTTAGTTTTTATACACTTAACTTTTAGTTTTTATACACTTAACTTTTAGTTTTTATACACTTAACTTTTAGTTTTTATACACTTAACTTTTAGTTTTTATACATTTAACTTTTAGTTTTTATACCCTTAACTTTTACTAAGATAGAACCCCAAAATTGGACCCCAAAATGACCCCAAAATGACCCCAACATGACTCCAAGAAGGTGAGTTTTTATCAGCTTAAGTCTGGCCAGTTAAGCTGACACAAAGTAAGGGTATAAAAACTCTATTCTGCTGCAAAATAGAGTTTTTATACCCTTACTTTGTGTCAGCTTAACTGGCCAGACTTAAGCTGATAAAAGCTCACCTTCTTGGGGTCATTTTGGGGTCATTTTGGGGTCCAATTTTGGGGTCCAATTTTGGGGTTCTATCTTAGTAAAAGTTAAGTGTATAAAAACTAAAAGTTAAGTGTATAAAAACTAAAAGTTAAGTGTATAAAAACTAAAAGTTAAGGGTATAAAAACTAAAAGTTAAGTGTATAAAAACTAAAAGTTAAGTGTATAAAAACTAAAACTTAAGGGTATAAAAACTCCTAAAGAAAACGTGTTAGATCAACACCCTAAATTATATATATAGATCTGGGGCCACATAGGCCTATTGTTTTGTTTGATTTTCACGTGAAACATGTTAAACTGAAGATCCTGCAAGGACACTGATGGTGGATTCGTGGATGGATGTGGATGTTAGGTACATGAAAAGACTGCCTGTGATGAATATTTTCCGCAATCAAACTCAACATGTCCAAGCTGTGGCTTTGACGACACACTTCTGGTCTTCTTTCACCTGATGCAGTCTACATGCCACTGGTGGGTTGTGATGCGACATGGGTTTGATTTGATTTTGAATCAGGCCAGCACTGCTGTTTCCACATCCCTGCAGTTCTTTCCTTCTTGCCTATCAGACGGATACCTGTTCTTGACTTCTCTTTATGTATCTTGGCGTTTGTCCAGTGAGATTGCTCCTATTCTTTGGATTCTTTGGAGTGCGAAATTGTGGGAAGTTGAGGGCACGATGAAGGCAAAATGCTAGGTCTTGTGGTGTTTTTATTGTTATTGCGTAATATTGACCAGACGCCACCTGGCTTATTGTTTTCTTTGATTTTCACGTGAAACATGTTAAACTTGAAGATCCTGCAAGGACTCTGATGGTGGATTCGTGGATGGATGTGGAGGTTAGGTACATGACAAAATTGTTTGTGATGAATATTTTCCGCAATCAAACTCAACAGGTCCAAGCTGTGGCTTTGACGAAACACTTCTGGTCTTCTTTCACCTGATGCAGTCGGTGCAATCACTGTCACAGACAAGCGAGTTCCAACAATATTCCATAAAGACTTGAAGAGGTGCTTGTAAACGTTGTCCTGACAAGCAAGTAGTGTTACAAAAGCGCATTCAAGTGATTTACTAGTGACTTTCGCATTATCTTCGTGTCGTGATCACATATGTGGTTGGGCTCAGGAACATGTGGGGAAGCTCGCTACATATGGTTTTGTAAACTTTACCGGAATGCGAACTTTGCTCAAAGGCGTGCCCGGACAGTTTGGTGCAGTAGGCATGGTAGGCATGGCTTTCCGGAAGAGTTTCCACGCACAGAGCAGTTTGGACGTGCAAGACTCTAAGACTCTAGGCCTCTAGGCTTGATAGTCACTTGACACGTCTTTACTTTATCCCTTCTTGCTACCAGACATATCCAGACATGGGTTTGGTTTGATGTTTTATTGTGAGCAACTGTACAACAACATCGTACAACGATTTCTATATCCAATGATCCAAATCCGGGCAGTATTTCGTGGTCCCGCTTGCACAAGTAATTGCAGCAGCAGGGAAAAGCAATGATCCCAACATTCTTTGATTTCTTTGGCATGTGTTGTTTGTGCTGATGAGAATGATTAGAATGATCACAATGTGTTTGTCTATGTCTGGGTCCCGGGTCACCTACGCTTTGATGCTTAATTAATTGAAGCTTGGACTGGCAGTCTCACAAGACTTTCGAATTGCAGGTATTGCTTCAAAGTTTCAACCTGGCGCACTTGTGCAAGAGGAGTGCTTGACGGTTTGAAGCATTGGGTTCACAGGCCAAACAAACACATTCAAACACCAAAGGTCTCAATGAGTCTTGTTCTCATGTGTTCTTGGGATCACTGGAGCTACCATGAGATACCTTGATTGCTCCTCAGAAAATCTTCGGGTCTTCACCTTTCCTTGCCTTCGTCACAGCGACAGGCCTTGGCTGGACGTAGATTTCTAGACCTTGGCGAGGGAAACCAAGTGCTACCTGGAGATGTGCTTGGTTCTGCTTCGTTTCATTTGGAACTGTGAAATTTTTGCACAACCGAAGATCAGCCACCAAGATGCAAGGCTGATAAGGTTTCAAGGAGGGATTGAATTGAACAACATGAATGGTCAGTCAAAAAAAACATTGTGGACATTTGATACCCCTTCTAATATCCTTTTAAATTTATCTAAATATTTGTACGCGCATATGATTAATGTAGAAACTTGGTGAAACTTGTGGAGTGCCAAAGTCCATGTCTCTTATGAACCCAGTTTAGGGAGACCTTGAGGCTCTGGTGATGGGCGCGCGGTGATCGCTGCAGCTGTGATAGCTGTGACGCTCAGAAGAGACACGTGGCGACTCGAATTGGCTCAATTTGGCTCTATCATTTCAAGAGACCAATGCTCCTGTTTGCTTTTCTGGTCTCAGAGGTGTGACAGCTTCTACTGTAAGGCCTGACACATTTATTTTTCAAAGCAAAGGTGCCAAGTTTGTCTGAGTGCGTGGGCGTTGAGCTTTCGATGCCTGGCGACCCAGATCAACTGCTCGCCCAAGGACTTGCTTGGCTGCAAAGTACAGGCCACAAACTTTCAAGAACGCAAGAGTGGACGTAAACGAAAGGGAGCCGACCGAGCGTTGCAAACTGCATCAGATCTCTATTGTATTTGCGGTAATCTGATGAAATCCTGTAGCAGACTGTAGTGCTAGGTTTCAAGTTTGTCTCTCTTTGCGGTGTTCAATACTTGAAGCAATCTCTGAGGTCACGTCACCAGCTCGCTGCGAAAAACAGGCGGCCAGTCAGAGTGGGGATCAACGAAAGTTTTGACAGAGCTACCCCGTAAAAGGTCTGACTCGGTCTGACCAAAAAGGAATATCGATAGCCAAATGGTCCGAAACCTGGAAAAAGGCGGGGCCTCCAAAAAGAGAGGCCATGTGTTATCATGTGTTCATGATATGTCAATACATATCATACGTTGTTTTGGCATCAATCCATTCAAGCACATTCCATTGGTGAAAGACAGAGCAGATTATGAACCTAGATTTTTATTCAAACGGTACCACATCAAATTCTTAGTCTCAAGCCTAAAAATCTAACCTGTTAAAAAACGAAGCCAAACTGCGCAAACCGAATCCAAAAACGAAGCCTTTTTTGTCTCCAGATTTTGACACTTTTTCACATTTTTCACATGCCTCAAAAAAAGGATTTTAGTTCATGTTCCTTTCCAGATAATCTCAGAAGCGATGTCCGCCTTCAAATGCAGCATTGCAAGATGGTACTAGATCATGGGAAAAGTATTAAAAACATGAAAAACTCTGAGCAAAGAAAGCAAGGGAGGGTTGGGACGCCAGTGAGAGTGCTTGCAAGGAGCCGGCTTCCCGAGAAGCTGAAAGAAATCGTGCGATTCGATCAATGCGACATCATGCAGGCGCTGCAGTTTCTTGCCAGAACCGACAAAAATGATGGCAATGCGACATCAAAAAGTGCTTGCTTCAGATACATTCACTGTTAAGGCTAGGGCATTTCAAGAGCATTTGGAATCTGTGAATCCAGTTTTTCTGGTCTCTTGACTCTTGATGATACAAACAGCAGGAAATGCTGCAGAGATTAGACTTCAGAAACAGACAGACATCCAAGTGAAGAATGACACGCGCCTTACAATGGAGATTGACAGAGAGTTCTGCAATCCGGAGTGGCCAAGTCGTTTGATGTGGCCAAAGTCGTTTGATGTGATGACATATGACCACCGCTTGATGCATTTTGCCGGTGCGGCTTGGTATCTTCTGGTTCTGTGGCTTTTGTGGACACGCCCGAGCCATCCCGAGCCTGTCCACACTGAGATGCTTGAGGTGTGTTTGTGGATGTAGCCTTAGTATGCCTTAGTGTGTTTGCGTAGTGTAAAAAGGGCATAGAAAGCCATGATTGACTTGCAACAAGTTTTAGCTCAAGGCCCTAGGATGACCCAATCTCTGCGCCCTTTCTGACAGCATGATCGGATGCTTTTCTATGGAGATTGACAGAGAGTTCTGCAATCCTGAGTGGCCAAAGTCGTTTGATGTGATGACATATGACCACCGCTTGATGCATTTTGCCGGTGTGGCTTGGTATCTTCTGGTTCTGTGGCTTTTGTCGACACGCCCGAGCCATCCCGAGCCTGTCCACAGTGAGATACTTGAGGTGTGTTTGTGGATGTAGCCTTAGTATGCCTTTGTGTGTTTGCGTAGTGTAAAAAGGGCATAGAAAGCCATGATTGACTTGCAACAAGTTTTAGCTCAAGGCCCTAGGATGACCCAATCTCTGCGCCCTTTCTGACAGCATGATTGGATGCTTTTCTATGGAGATTGACAGAGAGTTCTGCAATCCTGAGTGGCCAAAGTCGTTTGATGTGATGACATATGACCACCGCTTGATGCATTTTGCCGTTGTGGCTTGGTATCTTCTGGTTCTGTGGCTTTTGTCGACACGCCCGAGCCATCCCGAGCCTGTCCACAGTGAGATGCTTGAGGTGTGTTTGTGGATGTAGCCTTAGTATGCCTTAGTGTGTTTGCGTAGTGTAAAAAGGGCATAGAAAGCCATGATTGACTTGCAACAAGTTTTAGCTCAAGGCCCTAGGATGACCCAATCTCTGCGCCCTTTCTGACAGCATGATCGGATGCTTTTCTATGGAGATTGACAGAGAGTTCTGCAATCCTGAGTGGCCAAAGTCGTTTGATGTGATGACATATGACCACCGCTTGATGCATTTTGCCGGTGTGGCTTGGTATCTTCTGGTTCTGTGGCTTTTGTCGACACGCCCGAGCCATCCCGAGCCTGTCCACAGTGAGATGCTTGAGGTGTGTTTGTGGATGTAGCCTTAGTATGCCTTAGTGTGTTTGCGTAGTGTAAAAAGGGCATAGAAAGCCATGATTGACTTGCAACAAGTTTTAGCTCAAGGCCCTAGGATGACCCAATCTCTGCGCCCTTTCTGACAGCATGATCGGATGCTTTTCTATGGAGATTGACAGAGAGTTCTGCAATCCTGAGTGGCCAAAGTCGTTTGATGTGATGACATATGACCACCGCTTGATGCATTTTGCCGGTGTGGCTTGGTATCTTCTGGTTCTGTGGCTTTTGTCGACACGCCCGAGCCATCCCGAGCCTGTCCACAGTGAGATGCTTGAGGTGTGTTTGTGGATGTAGCCTTAGTATGCCTTAGTGTGTTTGCGTAGTGTAAAAAGGGCATAGAAAGCCATGATTGACTTGCAACAAGTTTTAGCTCAAGGCCCTAGGATGACCCAATCTCTGCGCCCTTTCTGACAGCATGATCGGATGCTTTTCTATGGAGATTGACAGAGAGTTCTGCAATCCTGAGTGGCCAAAGTCGTTTGATGTGATGACATATGACCACCGCTTGATGCATTTTGCCGGTGTGGCTTGGTATCTTCTGGTTCTGTGGCTTTTGTCGACACGCCCGAGCCATCCCGAGCCTGTCCACAGTGAGATTGAGATGCTTGAGGTGTGTTTGTGGATGTAGCCTTAGTATGCCTTTGTGTGTTTGCGTAGTGTAAAAAGGGCATAGAAAGCCATGATTGACTTGCAACAAGTTTTAGCTCAAGGCCCTAGGATGACCCAATCTCTGCGCCCTTTCTGACAGCATGATCGGATGCTTTTCTATGGAGATTGACAGAGAGTTCTGCAATCCTGAGTGGCCAAAGTCGTTTGATGTGATGACATATGACCACTGCTTGATGCATTTTGCCGGTGTGGCTTGGTATCTTCTGGTTCTGTGGCTTTTGTCGACACGCCCGAGCCATCCCGAGCCTGTCCACAGTGAGATGCTTGAGGTGTGTTTGTGGATGTAGCCTTAGTATGCCTTAGTGTGTTTGCGTAGTGTAAAAAGGGCATAGAAAGCCATGATTGACTTGCAACAAGTTTTAGCTCAAGGCCCTAGGATGACCCAATCTCTGCGCCCTTTCTGACAGCATGATCGGATGCTTTTCTATGGAGATTGACAGAGAGTTCTGCAATCCTGAGTGGCCAAAGTCGTTTGATGTGATGACATATGACCACTGCTTGATGCATTTTGCCGGTGCGGCTTGGTATCTTCTGGTTCTGTGGCTTTTGTGGACACGCCCGAGCCATCCCGAGCCTGTCCACAGTGAGATGCTTGAGGTGTGTTTGTGGATGTAGCCTTAGTATGCCTTAGTGTGTTTGCGTAGTGTAAAAAGGGCATAGAAAGCCATGATTGACTTGCAACAAGTTTTAGCTCAAGGCCCTAGGATGACCCAATCTCTGCGCCCTTTCTGACAGCATGATCGGATGCTTTTCTATGGAGATTGACAGAGAGTTCTGCAATCCTGAGTGGCCAAAGTCGTTTGATGTGATGACATATGACCACCGTCGACGCGTTCCTAGCTTTCAATGGTTATATAATGTTATATAATGTATTATAATTATAATGTTATGTAATGACATTTGAATATTTGGAGGGCGGGCCAGTACAATTAAATGACGTATGTTTCAATAAATTGGATTCCGTATTTTTAAATGGCCGGGCGGGCCAAGGAAAAGCTTCCCGGAGGTAGTCTAACATACCAGTTTGTATATTAACAAATCTGTATATTTATGTAGTTACCGTATGTATATAATATATATATATATATTTATGATTATATATATAATTTGTTGGTATATAATTTGTTGGTATCTTTTATCGTGGTATACTCCAGCTGTGCGATCTGAATATTGTTTGACGAGAAGAGAGGTCAGAGGATATTATGGGCAGGGGGTTGTGGCTTTGTTTGTGCTATGATTTGTGGTTGTTGGACATTTTTGGACATTCCCACTGTATGTGCAGGCATTAGGTTGGACTACGCTGTATCACGTTGCATCATATTATAGCATTTTCTTTCAAGCTTCTGTTTGTGTTTCGGTCAACTTACTTGCCATTCACTTGGTGAGAGGAGTGGAGAGTGGATATACTCTAGACTCCAGACTGCGGTCATGGCAGGTACCCCCTGTTGAATTGGGACGTATGGAAATTGTCTGGTTGGCAAATTTGCAGCTTGGCTGCAGCGAAGCTGAATCATAGTGCAGCAGGGAGCATCAAAATGTGGGTGCGCAGTGTTCATTCTGTTTGACTCTATTCAAGTTGTGCGTGGGGCTTTCCAATGCTCTGGGTTTTCTCTGTTTGTTCGTTGGTAGTAAAGATTTCTGCAGTCTGCAGGCGCTTCCCTGATGAGACTGTTGCATCCATTAACGAGTACTTGGAAACAAATTGCCGCACACTCGGTTGTGGTCTTGCATCATGATTGTCGGGTGGGAGCATGTGTGAGTGAACATGACCGAACTCAGCAAATCCAATTTGAAACGTTTCATTTTTGACCGGGACTCAAAGCACTGTCTGTTCTATCTTTTCAAGCAAGCACGTTTTGAAAGCATTTGAAAGCTACGTAACTTGAAACCCAAGGAAGACATGAGAAGATCCAAGCTACACATCCGTTTCAAATTTCTTTCATTTTTGTTTGATTTTGTTTGCCACGCTGAGTCATGCATTGAATCCAGTTTTCGACCTTGGCATAGAAAGTTGGATGACAGTTTAGTGTTCAAACTCGATTACAATTGACCCCGCAGGTTCTGCAGTGTTTTGCTTGACCATTGTGCTACAACTACATGTTTGCTGAGGTGCACGTGAAGTGAATGCAGTGGTTCTGCTCTTGGATCTGCAAGCACTGGCTTCATGGCAGTGCAAACCTTGCAGACACACTGGGCCCATGAGCCTTGCATGCACACACACACACTATTTGAAGAAATACACTCTGTGACCATTGCGCGGGGCGTTCGCGTGCTTGTTGAAAGCGTTGAAAGCACCAGCGACGGTCGTCTGCAGTTTGGGCTCTAAGTGCCCCTCAGTGCAGGATTAGGAGAAAGTCTTGGTCGGTAATTTGCCACGCCACGCCATGCTAAGACTTGGTGCAGTTCTCGTGGGTTGCGCTTGGGCGCAGCAGCCAGGTGTCCACACGGAGGAGTATCATCCGAAGATGCCGCTATGGACTTGTGGCAGTTCTGGATGCTCCAAGGAAGAGAAGACCGTGACTTTGGATGCCAATTGGCGTTGGCTCCACAATGGTCAATACACGAACTGCTACAAGGATGGCGAGTTTGACGAGACGTTGTGCCCTGACCCATTGACATGCGCTGAGAATTGCCACTTAGAAGGAAATTCAGAGAAGCAGTACAAGTCAACATATGGCATCAAGGAAACCGGGAAGGGCATCAAGATGAACTTTGTTACAACAACAAAGTATGGCTCGAACTACGGTTCCCGAGTCTACATGATGGATGGGCCTGAACAGTACAAGATGTTCAAGTTGAAGAACAGGGAGTTTACCTTGGACGTTGACATGTACTACATGCCCTGTGGTCTCAATGGTGCCGTCTACTTTGTAGAAATGGACGCTGATGGCGGTAAGGCCGCAGCGGCAGCAAAGGGCGGCGTGAATGCAGCTGGTGCCAAATATGGCACAGGCTACTGTGATGCTCAGTGCCCACATGACATGAAATTCATGGAAGGCAAGGCAAATGTCATTGGATGGAATGCAAGCCATGACCCTCCAATTGGCAAATACGGTGCTTGCTGTGCCGAAATGGACATTTGGGAAGCAAATTCCAGAGCAACAGCTTACACGCCACACCCCTGCTCTATCACAGGCACCTACATTTGTGAAGGCACTGAATGTGGTGACAATGCCAAGGATGAACGTTACGATGGTGTTTGTGACAAAGACGGTTGTGACTTCAACTCCTGGCGATTAGGTGACAAGACATTCTATGGTCGTGGAGAGCTTCACGGTGAATTCCAGAGAGAAATTGACAGTTGTCACTCAATTCATCACTGAAGGCAACACAGATGATGGAGATCTTGTTGACATTCGCCGCTTCTATGTCCAAAATGGAAAGGTCATCCCCAACTCCAATTCATCGATTGCTGGAATAACTGGCAATTCTGTCACAGACAAGGTCTGTGCAGACATGAAGAGAGAGTTTGGGGACATTGATGACTTCAACATCAAGGGAGGGCTGAAAGTTATGGGGGAAGCCTTGGATCGTGGCATGGTTCTTGTCATGTCCCTTTGGGATGATGCCGAGGCCAATATGCTTTGGCTCGACTCGGACTACCCTTTGAACAAGGATCCATCGATTCCAGGTGTCAATCGTGGACCATGCAACACCGACAGTGGCAAACCATCCTACCTCCGGGCAAAATTCCCAGATGCCAACATCGCGTACAGTAAAATCAAGATTGGAACAATTGGTTCAACATTTCGTGGATCATCAGATGATGACGACGATGGTGATGATGATGGCAAGTGGGATGATGACCGTCGTCTCCGGGAGGTCCAGATCTGAGCAGATCGCAGATCTGAGCACAGCTAGCCGCCGACCTAGTCGCAGGCGACCTGATGTAACGAGTCAGGAAATCTGCAGGCAGTCCCCCAAAGTTGGTGCCTCTTTTGATTTCAAGGCCATCGCGGCTCCAGGGTACAGAAGACATTCCGTAATGAAACATTGCGGGCTGATGTGATGGCCATTTCCAAAGAACTTATTGGGTGACCTCCGAGCAAAGATTCTATTGCTTTCAAAAGAGGAGGATACTGAAAGATTCTCCTCTGGACATTGCGAGAATGAATGTACTGCAAATTGACGTAAATTGAATACTGTATCCTGTCAACACCTTCTCAGCATGAAGTCACCCTTTAAGATGGCCAATTACAGTATTAGATTGCGCGGAATTCGATTTCACAAGCTGGACCTTTCCCTTTGAACTTTGAACTTTGAACCTGCTTTGAACACTGTGAGCGCTCTCTAGCTGTCTGACACATCATGGCAACAAGCTGCCGTGGCGTGTCGGCTGGGCTCCGTAGCCTTGCTGAAAAGATTGGCTGCCGAACGGTCGTTCCTGCGCCCCGTTTATATCCGTTTATGATTTAACTTTCTTGATCTTTCTTGCGTTTCTCCATGTTTCTCCATGTTTCTCCACAGATGAGCTGAGTCTGGGTTACACATCTTTTTTGCCAAGTCGTGCAAGAGTTTGAGTGCAAGTGTTGGAAGATGAGCACATCGACCGCAAAATCGAAGTTTGAAGTTTGAATTCTGATGTCGTTTGTCGCTCGGATTTGCTATGCCCCTCTTGAGGTTGCAACTCTTCGAGAGTGTCACTTCAGACGGCCCAATGAGATGTGGACAGAGCAGGTTGTGACGAGACCAGACGTGTTGTGGTTCAGCAATCCTGGAATTACATGGAATTACTATGTTTTGGATGCATTCCACAACTGGATCGGTCAACATATTTTTTGTGATACTTAAACATGCCACACATCCCTCAAAGAAATTTGCACCAGAATTCAGCCAAGACTGAGTTTGTATTTGCATCGTTCCCAGCTAATCTTTTCTCCATGGCAGGTATCCATGAGTTGGAACCCAGCAGGATGGCAAGTCTTCTGCTATTATTTGCCTATGCAGGAAAAAGAGGCGGCCCAGGAGATTCCAAACAACTTCTGTCAATGATAAAGGATTGCAACGTGGCGGCGCACCCCAAGGGCAGAGTTGGCGGCCAGAGTAATGAAAGACGATGCTTAAGCCGCCAAGTAATGGAAGTTGCCGAGACGGAAGTTGCATGCTGCACGAGCTGAGACATCTGAGACATTGATTGTGTTAGTTTTTTGCTTTTTCTGTCCGAGTCTTTCGTTTCAAACCCGAGCGATCCTTGCAAAGGAATCAAAATGAGTGCAAAGAAAGATGGGCGACAGTACCTCTATGATTTGTATGCTTGCAAATGTTTGGCAAAACAGATTTGATCTTTAGATATCTTTAGCGGTCACAACCATATCTTTACCTTTGACGTGATAAATAGGCTTCTCGATCCAAAGCATCACTGGGCAGGATTGCAACAACAGTCCGAAGCATCAAAGCATCTACTGTAGATCTTCCACACATTTGCGCCTGCGTTGAGTGCTTGCATTTGGTGTATCTTGGTTGCGTCAATGACCGGCAGCTTACACATGTCTTGAATACTTTATATATGGTAGAGAAGTTCTGGCCCTCCTGATTGAAAGCACAAACTACTGTAGCTTCATTGATAGGGCACAACAAAATCACCAAAACAACCACGACAAAACCGTGTTGGCAGAAATATTTTAAATGGCCTTGCAGAAAGTGTGATGCTATGATATGCTATGTATTTGTGCAGAATCTATGCACTTGCGGGATCTTCATGGATCTCCTCAAACCGGATGAAGCACTAGGGATCAGCCAACGCAGACTGTGCTGCCTTGACATCACTGGAACCTCTGAGGTCAGCATGGCATTTGTTGCATTTGTTTCAGCGCCTGCAGGCTCAAATTGCCCTACACAACGTCGTTTCAGCGCTCACAACCGCAGGGAATCAAAATCTGACAGAAGTCATTCCGCCTGCAGTCGCTTCTGAAGTTTGCCCAGCAATGGAGAATCATCATGATGTGAAGGCACACGACTGCCTGCTGCTCATGGTCCGAATAGGGGCCTTCGCAGCCGAGATCCAAGGCATTGTCTTGCTGGTGGGATTTGGCAAAGGCTTTCATTGAAAAACTACTAATGCAAGGGTGAGCAGCATTTTCGTTCAGCTTTCACCAAATAGCCAAAGATAAACAAGGCAACCGGTTGACTCGGCGCCCTTGTAAGGGTGACGAATTTGAAATTCTGATTTTTGAGGCTAAGAGACAAAATGCTGGTATTTGCAGGAGTCGTCAAAAAATGTTTGCAACATGGACATTCATTTCGATTGGCAGGCGTGTGACTCAAGAGTGAAAATGTGCGTTTCGCCTGCGCGGTGAGTCGATTTTGCTCTTCAAGGGTCAAGAAAAAAACATTAGAAATTTATGATTTTCAATCATCCGAATCATATCAGGGCGACATTCACTCTTCCAGTTTTTTCCTCTTCTCGACGCTAGCGGTGCCAGAGAGCTTGTGGCAATGCAGAAGCCACAGTCTGCAACAAGGCAGCGTTGTGACGCCATGTCCAGCTGTAGGCCCAAGTGTACCTTTTTTTGTACACGTTTTGTTTTTTTGTGGGGCATCGACGGAGGTCGCCATTTTTTCAAGTGTTTCCATGTTCCATCCATTTGTTGGGTACCAGCAACAATGGCTCTATAGGATTTATCCCACAAACGACCTCGAAAATGATAAGTCTTAGTCTTAGTAAAGATATTTTGTTTGTGGTTGACTTGGGCCAACTTGAACCTTTTGTGGGGATAATCTTTGACACAACTGACAGCATGTGCAACGTTTGCATCTTCCGTAACGTAAAGGAAGTGCTCGTCAGGGACGTTAATACACCCCCCCACCCCCACCCCCACCCCCCTGATGATCATACGACAGCATGCGCAACGTGTGCATCTTCCGTAACGTAAAGGAAGTGCTCGTCAAGAACGTTAATACACCCCTCCCACCCCCCACCCCCACCCCCCCTGATGATCATACCACAGCATGTGCAACATGATAAAAACTCAAAAAAATCAAATCCTATACCCCCATTTCAGCAAGCCTCATTTTTGAAATTTGCAACCCTTCCAAGGGATCGTAAATGGCACATCTCAAAATTGGCAACCCTTCCAAGGGCGCCGTATCAGCCGCATGCCAAAAACTAACTAGACGACGGATGGCCCGAGAGCGTAGAGGAGCAGAGTCTTCTTCTGCTGTTAGTATGGCGACACTATATTACAAGACAATATATTAAAGGTGTATTACAGGCAGACGAGAAGAGTAGTATCAAGACAATATTATATGGCATCGTATCTTTTGCATCGTATCTTTCAAAAAGTTTTTCACGCACAGAACTTTTTACAGACAGACCCTTTTGCACACAGACGCTTTTACACACAGACGCTTTTACACACAGACGCTTTCACACACACACAAACACTTTTACACACAGAGACTTTTACACACAGACGTTTTTACACACAGACGCTTTTACACACAGACGTTTTTACACACAGACGCTTTTAGACACAGAGGCTTTTACACACAGACGCTTTTCCACACAGAGACTTTTACACACAAACGCTTTTACACACAGAGGGTTTTACACACAGACGCTTTTACACAAAGAGGGTTTTACACACAGACGCTTTTACACACAGACCCTTTTACACACAAACACTTTTACACACAGAGACTTTTACACACAGACGCTTTTACACACAGAAGCTTTTACACACAGACGCTTTTACACACAGACGCTTTTACACACAGACGCTTTTACACACAAACACTTTTACACGCAAACACTTTTACACACAGAGACGTTTACACCCAGAAGCTTTTACACACAGACGCTTTTACACACAAACACTCTTGCACACAGACCCTTTTACACACAAACACTTTTACACACAGAGACTTTTACACACAGACGCTTTTACACACAGAGGGTTGTACACACAGAGACTTTTACACACAAACACTTTTACACACAAACACTTTTACACACAGAAGCTTTTACACACAGACGCTATTACACACAGACGCTTTTACACACAAAAGTTTACACACAAACAGTTTTACACACAAACACTTTTACACAGAGACGCTTTTACACACAGAAGCTTTTACACACAGACGCTATTACACACAGACGCTTTTACACACAGAGGCTTTTACACACAGACGCTTTTACACACATCGCAATTTTACTTCAGTTTTTGGCGATCCAACCTCATTTCGTGCGAAAGGGACGTGCGAAAGGGTCGCGCGGGACAAGTTGAAATCGCAATTTTACCCCAGTTTTTGGCGATCGAACCTCATTTCGTGCGAAAGGGTTCACCGGAAACACGAAATCGCAATTTTACCTCAGTTTTTGGCGATCGAACCTCATTTCGTGCGAAAGGGTTGCGCCGGACAAGTTGAAATCGCAATTTTACCTCAGTTTTTGGCGATCGAACCTCATTTCGTGCGAAAGGGTTGCGCCGGACAAGTTGAAATCACAATTTTACCTCAGTTTTTGACGATCGAACCTCATTTCGTGCGAAAGCGTTGCGCGGGACAAGTTGAAATCGCAATTTTACCTCAGTTTTTGGCGATCGAACCTCATTTCGTGCGAAAGGGTTGCGCGGGACAAGTTGAAATCGCAATTTTACCTCAGTTTTTGACGATCGAACCTCATTTCGTGCGAAAGGTTGCGCGGGACTTGCGTTGAAATCGCAATTTTACCTCAGTTTTTGACGATCGAACCTCATTTCGTGCGAAAGGGTTGCGTTTCCTGCCGTCTCGTTGGCACTGCCCCTGCTCCCGCCTTCAAGAGAGAAATAGAAAAGAAGGAGAGGGCAAGAGGGCAAGAGGGCAAGAGGAGAAGGTGTGAGATGAGATGTAAAGATGTGAGAAGATGTGAGAAGATGTGAGAAGATGTGAGAAGATGTGAGAAGATGTGAGAAGATGTGAGAAGATGTGAGAAGATGTGAGAAGATGTGAGAAGATGTGAGAAGATGTGAGAAGATGTGAGAAGATGTGAGAAGATGTGAGAAGATGTGAGAAGATGTGAGAAGATGTGAAGATGAGGAGAAGATGGGAGGATGAGATGAGATGGAGATGAGAAGATGTGAAGATGAGAAGATGTGAAGATGAGAAGATGTGAAGATGAGAAGATGTGAAGATGAGAAGATGTGAAGATGAGAGGATGTGAAGATGAGAGGATGTGAAGATGAGAAGATGTGAAGATGAGAAGATGTGAAGATGAGAAGATGTGAAGATGAGAGGATGTGAAGATGAGAAGATGTTTTACAGACCCCCACTATTGGAAGAACCCTGCGCTCAGACGCTCTCGGGAAAAACACGCTAGACTACTAGACTTCTACAAACTGTAAACTCATGCGAACTGTGTTTTTGAATCATTCCTATTTTACGCAGCTCGGAGTTCCCAACTTGAACCGGTTCCTGCAGGCAGTCTTTCATAATCCAGACAGTCTTTACTCCAGCAATTCTGGCAGTCAGCCTTAGAAAACTGCACAGGGCTCAGGCATGTCGTTCAGGACAATCTAGACAAAGACGCTCTTGCGCTTCACGCTCAATTTGTTGGTCATTTTGACTTGCTCAAGTCTTTGGTACAAAGTTAGAGTCCCTTTAAACATTAAATATGCCGAATTGACGTCCTTGTATTATCTGTTCTCATCTTGTGAACACATGAGAGACTTGTTCGACTCTTACTTGGAATGTGTTTGACTTTTTGTTCATGAATTTGAAACGTGTTTGAATTTGAACAATCGATACTGGGTCTCTCTCTCTCTCTCTCTCCCCTTCTCTCTGTGATGAGGCGAGGCTGCACAACGCGCCGAGCGACTGTATTCATCGATGGGGTGTGCCTGTCAAATTGCCCTGAGAATGTCCCGAAATCACATGCCCTTTGATGATTTTTGCTGCTGCGCGCGTTTAATTATGTTTCATCGCGTTTCTTCATCCTTGCCCCATATTATCAATGCAGTGGTGGCAGTGGTCTTCTCAGATTTCCCACCCTCTTTGTTTGCAATCGGATACAGCACTGGACAGCAGGAAGCCGGGACTACTGGTCTCCAGGCGCAGTTTCATATGTCCAGTGCCTTTTGGAGCGTATGCTGGCTGGCTACCCTCGGTTTCCAGAACGTCATTTTTTGCATCCTTGTGCCCTTCAGTTCAAATGTGGGTCTTGAGGCTGAAGTTTCAATGGCACAAGCGGCACAGGCTTTCGGTTCAAGATAGCTGCAGTACCGCATCGCCCAATTCAGCTGAACATTTCAGTTCGAGAATCGTAGCATATCGTAGCATGGCTGAAGAATCCCAGCAACTACTTTTCGAGACAGATTCAGAGCCCGGCCTTCAAGCTACTCCAAGGCCTGAGGAATTGCAACACACGTTGTTTTCTTGAACTAGACAGAACATCATAGACTCACAGGTACTTGCTAGAACTGCCGAATGCTCTCATTCAGTCTGATTGGCATTGTGTTACATTTGTGAAGACCAATGCCATGTGGAAATCAATAGAAATATTATGTTGCATTTGGACATGCAAGCGCCATGTAGGCAAACTTGGTGTTTGTGTGCGTGTCCTTATGTTCTTTGTTTGTTTGTTTGTTTGTTTGTGTCTAGGAATCTGAGCGTGTGTGTTTACGTTTTGCAGAGAATCTTCGAAATTCTCATCGGGATTTTGTGAGTATATAGTCTTGTTCAACTTTGCCCTTTTTCCTTCATCAGTTTCATGGGATTTGATACACGTCTAGATGTAAAGATTCCGACAACAAGACTCATATATAAGAATAAGAACTGATACGAATTGTGCAGGAGCCTGAGGATCACAAAGGGGCTGCACATCATCCCTTGCATCCCCCCAAACCTCCCCCAAACCTCCCCCAAACATCCCCAAACATCCCCAAACAAGTATCACAACTTGGAAGGCCACGATATCACCGCCTTGGAGCTCTGCTTCTGACGTTCGCGCTGTTGGGCCTGGGGAGTTTGGTGCAGTTGGCACCGCATCAGAAGTCTTTACGGGGCAACGAGGCTTCGCAGCCTCACCTGGAGCATGAGGGTTGGAGACTACAGAAGATAACTGAAGATATGGCATGAGATATGGGGAGATCCTATGAGAAAATGTATGAACATGTAATGTCCCAAGTGAGTCAAGATGGCGCACCACAGAAGATGCACTATATATAAATCCTGTAAATCGAATGTCTGAGCCCACTGCAGACGACTGGAAGAGTACCAGCATGTGCAGCATGCGCAACCGACTTGATGTAGCTGGGGTGACGTGAGTTGACTACAGCGTAAGTAATGATAGTAATGCATAAGTTTCTTCATTTGTGTCAGCGACCGTGAAGAATCATCAGACGAGAACGATCAACTACCCAGATCCTCAATCCACGACCTGTTTGCTCTGGCAGATCAGGCAGGTGTAGTCCAAGACTCCTTGTCGCTCTTTGAACCGGTAGACGGCGGAGCTGAACGTGCTTGTCGAGGGGCGACGTCATCTGACAATCAGCCCACCTACTTCCTTGTAACGTCTGCAGTTGATTTAGCCTCCTGTCAATTGCTTCTTGCTTCTGTTTAGACTTCGGTGGATGCAGGCGATTTCTTTTTTAATCTGTTCATTATATTTTCACATGTTGTGTTTGCTAGCAGCCAGTAATAATCCAGTGACTCAGTCCCGTTGACTTACAATCAAAATTGGCTGCTTCCAAATAGCGTCCTGCAGCTTTTGTGCAATGTGATGATACTATCTTACTAATTCTTACTATATTCTATTACGCGAGCATGTTGCGATATGTTTCATTTGTTGTTCGACCTGGTGCTTCACGTCCGTAGACTTTCAATGGAAAGAGCCAGTCTGCAGTGACACATACGACAGAAGTTGGACACTCGTCAAGCTGCTAAGAAGCTTTAGTGGACAGATATATAAGCATCGCAGGTATTTATGGCATGTGCATGTACTTGCAAATACTTGCAATATTTCGAAACAGAATTTGCCTGTTGATACGCTTGTGCCAATTGCAATGCAAGGCAGTGCCTTCAAACAGGTTGCCAAGGAGTTGAGTTTCATGCTTCAAATGGCCGATGTGAATTGTGGACTCGTCCGGAAGGAATCCAAGCGTCTGCAGAGTTTACTCCCTCTGTGTGCTACAGGCGCTGCCAAACATGGACGAAAGATGACGAAAGATGATGACAGTTTGTTTATGTTTGTTGCCATGAACGAGATACATGGCTTGGCGCCATCAGATCCACGATGCGATTTGATGTCGATTGAGTCGATTGATATTTTTGATATTGACCTTCATGAGTCTACACATGTCTACACTAACTGAAAACCGGCAATCAAACAACACTGCCAATATGAGCACGCAGAGGAAATTGGATGACAGTGCCAGAAACCCAGGGGCCCTTTGAAGCCATTTGATCCAACGTGGAACATACCCTTTCATTCAAACGAAGACCACAATAGTGATAGACTCTGATAGACTCTGATAGACTACACTAGATAGAATAGAGCGAGATAGAAGGAGAGCCATAGCAGATTTGATTAGATTCGATCACATTCGATCAGATTTGATCAGTCCATTTCTTGACATCTCTGTGGAGTCTGTGGAGGCGTGTGGGGATCCTGGAGCCTGTGGATGGTGGTTTGGATCGTGCATGCCGTGGGAGCAGTCCTGGCGACAACAATCCGATGCTTAGCCTTGCAAGATCTTGCACACATTTTAAAGAAATTAAACGTATTTCCAACATTTTCAAACATGTTGTTGACGTTTATAGGACTGTATAGGACATTATAGGACTATATATATATAACCATATCAATCGTTTGAAGAAGTTCAGATAAAACCTGTCAAGAGTTCACAGTTTGGAATCTATGCGTCCTACATCGAGTCACTGCCAACTTCGGCATGGTGGCATCTACCGTCGACTCGATTGTCTGCCTCTTTCATACTGTTTCAATCTGTTTCATACTCATGACTTGATTCATGAATGACTCATAAATCTCATGATGGGCACTTGTTTTCTGTTTTCTGTCTCTGTTTGTCGCCTCTCTGTCGCCGTTGCTTTCTCTGCATCTGCCTCTCTATCTCTCGGTGTCTCCCACTGCTTTTATCTCTTTTTTCAGTTTGTTTGCATTTGGGATTTGTCCTGCTTGGTTTGATTCTGCTTGTCTTTGTCTCTGTCGGTCTGCACCTGTGTCGCTTGCTGTCTATTTAGTTCTCTGTGATAGGATATGCATGTATCTTGTACAAGAGGGAGATGTAGAATGGCGATGAAGAATGGCTCGGGTGCAGTGCACTACTAGAAAGACTCCAAAGACAAATATTGAAGTATATATAAGTTATATGTCTATATATATATACACGATTATATATGTATATAATGATATATATATATATATACACATATATATATACGTATACGTATATGCTTATCTATCAATAGGAGCAGCCATCATGGCCCGCAAGCAGCAGCACTTCGGTGTAGATGACTGAGCAAAATGCAAAAGAGCAACTGGCTATCACCTCACCATGTTTGCAAACATTTGCGAGAATGTGCAATTCATGATGAGACGAAAAACTGAGGGCTTACTTTCAGATTGAAGATTTGCAGTTGTTTGACGATTGCCAACGAGAATGCTTGCGCACTGCGGAGTGTAGGCGGGCATACATCTAAAGATTGAACGCACGGCATTTTTCTTTCACGTGCCAGATACATAGTCGATAAGATTTGATGTTGACTTGAATGACGTTGTAATATGTTGTAATTGCGGGCTTGAGTGATTATGTATGATTATGTCCATGCTGTGAAATGCCCGCATCCTCGCAGGGGCATCGAGTTCTCGGTGGGAAGATGTGAGATTTGGACACGTCCTGAGGGTATCCAGGCCTCCATATCTTTGTCCGGATTCCTGTGCTACCGGGCAGTCAATACTGCTACCACAAGTACTGGGACAACAACTACGCAAACATCACAAACATCAACTGTGAGTTCCACATTGACCACAGCGACTCTGACAAGCCTCACAACTACAGTCTCAATGACCTCGACGTCAATGACCTCGACGTCGACGATCAGCACATTGGCCTCAACCCCGAGCTCTCCGAGTCCAAGCCCTCCAGGTCTTTTAGTAGACTTTAGAGGTGTGGATGGCGGCGTGGATCGTGTGTGCCGTGGTGCTGATCCCGATGACAACAACCCCATCTACTTTGAGGTTTTTGATGCGGATGACTTGGAAGCGTGCAAAGAATTGTGCGCAGGGACCTCGGACTGTGTAGGCGTGGAGAGCATTGGAAGGACAGTGCTTGGGCAAGTTATTTGCTCCAATGTCATCAAGAAGAACACCAAAAAGAAACGCGATAGCGTATTCATGTCTACTCACATTTTGTCATAAATGACTATATCAAGTAGGATTGTAAAGGCTATTTAGAAATAGAATATAGATCTGCTGTGCAGAACATGCTCTGCACATTGTAATTGCCATTTCGTGCTGCAAGAGGCGAAATGGTACTTGATGTGAATGCATGAGCTACACATTCGCATGAAACACAGAGTAAAGATGAGTAAAGAATATGCAAAAGGTACAACATGGTACAACAGGATGTTTTCTTTTCCAGTTGTTTGTTGCTTTGGAGGAGATGCGAAGTGTGGACCCGTCCAGCTGGCATTCAAGCTACTAGAGAAGTGGCAGGTTATCAATGCCTGGAGGCTTGGGCTGCTCGGGTTGGTCCCTTTTTCCATCCGTCTCCCGGATGTGTTGATTCGCTGTTTTGGATGCCGAGTGTGTGTCAACCATGTTGAAGTGCAAACAGCACGTATTCTGCTGGATTACTTGGCATTCGGTTGGAACTGCATGTAGAACAGTTGGACTTTCATGTCAATACGCCTTGTCCGTTTCCTCATCACCCTTCACACTTTGACATTATATTCTTTCAAGTGATTGTGCACCCGTTCTTCTGTGCTTGTTTCCTAAAAGCTTCCCCTTTATATTTGGCATCCTGGTGTTTCTTCATGTTGCTCAAAATGAGAAATTCAACATTGATCAAAATTATGATTATGACTGAGAGAATGACTGATTTCTTCCCGCTTCTGCAGAGACTGGGCACCAGATCCCGACTCTCCTGCTATCTGTATACAATGCGCATTACAAAATGATTAAAAGCTTCTGAACCTGTGTCATGTTGCACAACATTGATTTCACTTTGTTTCTCAGTTGGTGACATTCAGCCTCGTGGACGGCGGGGGGAGTGCTTGTCGCGGGACCTCAGCGGGTGACAATATGCCCGAGCAACTTGGTTCGCGCTTGTGTTTACAAAACGTGCAACATTCAGTGATCCTGATTCGACCCTGCCAGAGGACGCCGGATTTACGGTGGATCATGTTATGTCATGTTCACACCTTTGCACGACATTTTGCACTTCTGCATCGTTCACCACCTCGTTGATCATGTCAATTGCACAGATGAAATCTCCCTCAGTCTAGGACAAAATTGCAGATCCCGTATCTAGCTGCTGACCTGCTGATTCCAGTCTATGAGGTTTATGAGGTTTGAGATATATAACCAGTTGAATGGCTTCACACGGAGATTGTTGGGTGGGTGTTGATTTGGCTTGGCTTCCAATACTGTTCTGCGATCCACGGACTGTAGACGGGGATTTCCCTGCCTCTATGGGATAGCAAAGCATAGGTACACTAAGCTATAGCAAGCAAAAGGGCAAACTCTTGAACAAGCAAGGTACTATGAGGTCTTCACCGAACCTACTCTGGAAGACTGCCAGCAGCGCTGCGCAGCCAAGTTGCACCGCTATAAGAGTTACTGAGGCTGCTTTATCAGGATGTAGAAGAAGTATACCAAAGAGCAGTCAAATTCAAGATGTTTAACTGGGTGAAGACTATGATTTGAATAGAAAAACTTTGGAAAGCTGCGGGTCTTGGTGGTCCGCAACATCAATTTCTAGAGCGCAGGTTTCCACCTGCATTTGAGGCAAACACTACTGATTGTGAGGGCGTGGAATACTCTGGCACAAGATGCGAGGTTGGGCACTCTTTCAGCAAATGTTGTTGCACTAATTAGCTGCACTGGGGCGGGGTTACCAATGGGTTGGGAGCCACTTCGAGAATCATATACACACGCCCAGCCTTGTATTTTTGCCAGGTTCAAACTTAATGGCAGGAGTCTAAATAGTCCAATACTGCATTTGCATGCGTTTGTCAATAGATGCGCACGCTATGTATGCATACCGATACCATCTTTTATGTTTGAGAATGCTCCTGGCCATTTCTTCCTTTGAAACGGACGCAGTACCTTTCGAGGAAGATGAATCAATTGAATAAGGTCAACATTGTCAACATGATATTTTGTTTTCGGTACCCGTCTGAACATAGTATCCAGCATTCTCGCAGGTTTGGAATACTCCAATCTTGGCTTCTGTGAGCATTACTACCGGAGATTTTCAGTGCTTCCGGTGGCTTGTCTCTGATTTTCCTTTGTGACATCCTCAAGTGTAAAGCGCAGCAAAGACTGGCCGGCAAACAACAATACAGGCCCTGAGTCCTAGATGATCTGTGGATCTGTGAACTGTGAAACAACAACGAAGTAAAAAACAGGGGTGTCGGTGGTGGCGCGGCACATGGGTGCACAAATGATGCACAAGTCACGCATGCGGCAGCTCAAAGTGCAGATCGCTCATGGATGTTCATGGTAAACGGGTTTCTGTGGAATGATGTGGAATGCCACTGGTTATTCAATGGCTGTGCCCGGAAAGACAGAATTCCGGATGTACGACATACGGTTGACAGACATATATCATCATATAATATCATATATCTGTACCATTCTGTACCCTGTTGCCTTGGGAAGAAAGGGAAGTCGCGATGGTGCTCTTTGAACAAATGAACACTCTGACTTTTTGCTGCAAAGGTTCGGAAGCCGACCACGTTTGACGTTCTTGACAGAAGTTGCGCATCTGGGACGAAGCGTTTTCGGTCTGCGGCGACGACAGTGCAATATACAACTCCACAAACTCTTTTTACAAGATATGTTCAAAAGGGATGGACCGCCCCTGGAGGGCTGATTTCAGAGTGTCTGAGAGCAAGTTCTTCATTATATAATTACAATCGTTAAAACGTATAGAAAAGGCCTTCCTGAACTGGTTGCCATTTTAGTGATTTGAGTTGCCAATGTGTCTCCTGGCTGATTGTGTGTTCTTGCGTTTTTGACTAGTCCAGAGGGACCTTCCCGCTGGACTGTGGGATAGTGTCTAAAGCCTGAATGTCATTTTTTGATGTCAGCAGGAGCGTCTTGATTTAGTCAGACTCAGAGTCCGTTCTTCACTTTCTTACCCCGAACATACTGGACGTTATTTCCTTCCAAAATCATCCCCTCAAAATGTGGCCAGTGACTTCTTGATTGAAACTACAGGAGATGAGCTTGCAGTACCATTTTACCCTTTCAGCGCCAATGTATTCATTCGATATTCTAAGTCATTCTAAGTCATTCTGGTGTGTTCGGAAATTCGGCCACTTCCAGGGCATCCACCTGGAGTACCATTGGATTTGATGCAGAATGCAGAGGAGAGACATCTGAGGAGACTCGGACGTCCCGAATTTATGATCCGTTTGGGCAATAATTTGCTGAGTGGTGGGCAGTGTCCCTTGGGGAGTTTTTCAGACAAGTTCATTCTGCTTGGTTGTGAGGGTCTGCGGTGCACTGTCCCAAGATATCCTAAGAATGTGATCCTGTTTGGCTGTGCGGGTGGAGCACTAAGCCTCACTAAGCCGCAAGCAGCAGAGCAGGCATACATTTGTTCCCAATGCTTACCGAGCAAAAACATTCAACGTAGTCTAACAGTTGATAATCCAGCCACCACAGACACACCTTGGCACCTGCCTGACTGCCCGTTCGCTTGTTTACATGCTTCAAGAAATGAGACGAAACAGCAATGCCAGCCGGCTTGCATAAACTCAAAGTGGTGCAGGTCAAAGCAAGTGTTCCTGGTGTGCATCGGAAATATCTCCACCTGCAGCTACATAGCTACATTCTCACTGCTTGGAGCATGACGGAATAGATCTGAAAAAGGGATAATTAGGCAGGATAGGAAATTCATCGGAAAGGAATGTAGTTTCCAAAAGAATTCGAATCCTGCGAGGACGATTCGCCCAGCTACTACTCATTGGTCACGGCAAGCTCCCTGCAGAGATGCCAGGTGCCGGAAGCATGTGGAAGTTTCAATTCATGACTCTGAATGTGGCAGGAAAGAGCTGATTTGAGGTTCAAGCTTTGTCATTTCCAATTCTTACACTTCTTCAATACTTCAATATACTTCATAGTGAGCCCCGCTCGAACTCGAACTCGAACTCGAACCCCCCCCCGGGAAAAAAAACCAAGCTTTCTGAGTCCGGACTCGCGGTCCACATGCTCGAACTCGAGTTCGAACTGGCGGTGACACAGTTCGAACTCGCGTTCGAACTCGCCCCAGAGCAGTTCGAACTCGATTTTGACCTAACGGCGTCCGCGTCGAACTCGAACTCGAACTCGAACTCGCACCCCCTCCCCCGGGAAAAAAAAAACATTTCCGAGTATGCTCAGGTCACGCTCTGAAAGACTGCGACTGTCAGCCGTAAGCCAGGTGCCATGAATTAATTTGGTGTTCCGTAATCAGATTGAGGGGGGAGATATGGCATGTTACCACGCCAAAAGCATCCAGGAAATAATGGCCTTACTTGGCTATCAGAGGGTCGCAGTGCGTACCAAGAAAGAAGCCGTCGAAGCTAGTCTCCATGCATATTTATAAAGATCAAGAAACAATAAGCTGAGTAAGATGAACTCAAATACCCGATGCTCATGACAAACGACTGAGAGAAGCTAAGAGGTGAACCGAATCAAACATACAGCGGGTAGGGGGGTTGCAGGGGAGGGCTGCCGTACCGAAAAAAAAGCACAAAGAACGAGCACATAGGAACCAAATCACTAATGTTGATGGAACCAGGAAAGGGAAGTAGGAGTAGGAGGCAAGAGGCGCCGGTTACAAAAATGCTGCCGTGCGGCTCAAAGAAAACAAAAAGAGGAACCCAAATCATTGATGCTGATGGACAAAGCAAAAGGAATAGGAGTAGGTAGCAAGGGGCGTCGCTTACGAAATATGAGCGAGTGGGCGGGTGCAGGGGCCAGGGATGCGGAACAATAAAGAAGCACATAGGAACCCAAATCATTGATGCTGATGGACAAAGCCAAAGGAATAGGAGTAGGTATCAAGCGGCGCCGGTTACAACATGAAAGCCGGTCGAACTGTGCCCTCCCCCCTGCAATGCGTAGCATGACAGGCGTACGAAGCAAGCAACACCCACATCGTTGATGATGATAATGGAAAAAGCCAAAGGAATAGGAGTAGGGGGTCCATGTTTAGAACTTGCATTTTAGCAAATCCCCGTACATTTTTTTGTTTCCTTTTGATGTTCTCCTCTTCCTCCCCCGCAATGCGTAGCAAGCAAGAAGCACCAAGAAAGAAGCACATAGGAAAACAAATCCTTGAAGCTGATGGAAAAAGCAAAAGGAATAGGAGTAGGTAGCAAGGGGCGCCGGGTAGAACATACAAGCGGGTAGGCGGGGTACAATGCGTACCAAGCAAGAAGCCCCGCAGTACGTACCAAGAAAGACGCACGTCGAAGCTAGTCTCCATGCATCTTGACAAAGATCCAAAAAAAAAGATGAGTAAGGTGAACTCAAATAAACGTTGCTCATGACGAGAAGGAATGAGAGAAGCTAAGAAGGGGGGCCGAATCAAGCATACAAGCGGTTCGCCTACACGAGCCGGGGCGAGTTTCATGGACTTTAGCGGGGGTTGAGAACCCCCCCGGGTTAACTCGAACCCTCGAACTCGAACTCGAACTCGAACTCCTCCGCCCCTCCCCCCGCCAAGATCTCGGATCCCAACCTTGGAACCAAACTCGAACTCGCAGCCCCCCCCCCTCTCCTGCACGCCAAAAAAAGAACCTCTCACCCCCAATCCCCTCCGGGGCCCTCCCACGATGACAGTTCGAACCCTCGCAATCGAACTCGAACTCAAACTCAACCTCCGCGTCCCCGACCTAGAACTCGAACTCGAACTCGAACTCCTCCCCCCCCCTCCCCTCGAACGATGACAGTTCGAACCCTCGAACTCGAACTCGAACT